CCCAATCTTCCGTTTCCCAGCCCCCATACCATAAGACAGCTTACAGCTTTCCTGGCAGTTAGAGGATTTTGCAGAATTTAGATCCCTAGGTAGGTAGTCCCTGAGCAGACACCTTTTTATGCTCCTCCTAATATTCCTATTTGGGTCTTAGATATATGTATGGCTACCCATTTCTCTCTCTGTAGTTGGAGGACTGAGATTCTGTCTTCCACTGTTCTAGTCTGCTGGAGTGGCCTTTCACTGTGTTTAGGGTTTCTGTTTGATTTTTTTTTCCTAGGTTTTCCATATCTTGGGTCACTTCCTCTTTAATATTTTCATCTTTAATTCATTTATCTCTTTATGTATAGTGTTCTGTGTTTCACTTTGGTGTTTATTTAGGGCTCCTCTGAGTTCATTTATTTGTTTCTGTGTTTTCTCATATTATTTACTTTTGGTGTCTTGAAATTTCTTGAGTGCATGTTGTACATTTTGGTTAACCATGTCTAGTATCTTCTCTATGAAATTTTCAGTGATTTCTTGTAAAAAATCTTCTTTGAGGGTGTTTTTGCAGGCATTGCTGGGTTCCTTGGTGTCATTTATCTTTGTTTTGTTGGGGTCAGGAACTGGGTGTCCATTTTCTTCATTTCCCTCTGAATCCTGTATTAAATTATTGTTTTGAGGAGAGTGGTTTCCATCCATTCTTCTTCCCATTGCTCCACTTGTTGCTGTGCAACTATGTTCTTGATAGGTGGTTATAGTCACCTGTTTTTTTTCCCTTGATTTAATTTTTGTTTTGTGGCTGTCTTGGTGTGCTATTTCTGTGCCTGGTATGGGTGTAATTTAGCAATAACTAATTCACAGGTTCAATACTCGGCCAGTAGTTACATTATATAGAAGACCCTTGGTGGTAATATCTATGAGCAGTGAGAGTTGGGGAGGTTAACGTTTGTTAGGCTTGCTGTAGAAGTTTGGGGAATTGGATAAGGTGGCACTAAAAGGGGAGGCGGGAAGTGGGGTGGGTAAGTGGGGGAAGTAAAACAGGGGCTGCTGGTTTTTATGGCCCTTGTGTGTGTTTGGGTGTATTTTTGTTTTTCTAGTGTAGGGTGCTTGTGTCAGGAATTGCAGGGGATTGGGGTTGTGTAAAGTTGGTATAGTAGCTTGGTCAGCTGGTGATGAGTTTGTAGGAGGGAGGGGTAGTCTGGTTACAGGTTGAGGGAGAATGTGAGGGGAAGGTGAGGGCAAGGGGAGAGAGTGGGTGAGAAGGGGCAGAACAAGTTGTTGGGAAGGAGAGCAATGGATTTTAGCACAGGAGCAGGAGGGAGAGTGAAGGGGGTGAGAGTAGAGATGAGAAGATGATGATGGTAAATTTGATAGTATAGAAAGAAAAAAGATAGTAGGAATAGAAATAAAAATAGAAAACCCATAATAACAAAACAAACAAACAATTTAAAAAAACAGGAAAAAAAAACCCCCACCAGATTCAGGAACAATAGAATTTCAGTCTTAGTTTAAGTTCTGGAGTTACTACTCTGGCATCCAGTCCTGGTGTTGGCATATAAGCAGAAGGTGACTGGCTTGTGAGTAGTGTTTTGTTCTTCTGGCTACCAGTTTAATTCAAATTGTAAGGTGTGGCAGGTTTTCCAGATCATGCAGGGTGGTCAGAGCTATTGATTTCCACAGCTGATAGCTGTGTTACCCTTCAGCTGCAGCTGTTTGATCAGCTCCTCCCCTAGCAAGGTGTAGCAGTGAAATTGTAGATGCTGCTCTGTGGGTCAGGAGATGAGCTCTGTGATCCACTCCTTGCCCTACTTCCGGGAGTGGCTCATCGCCCCCCCCCCCAGTCTTCACTGCCTTTCCACTGTTTGTTTACTGATAGTTCATGGATATTAGCTCCTTGCCCCTCCTCCTTTCTGCAGTGCACTTTTGCTGCCCTTTCCACTGTTAAATTACAGTTTGCTCTTTGTTACTCAGTTTTGTTGGGGGCAGGAGGATTTCCCTGGAGCTGGCCTCCTCTCCCTGCTGGCTGTGCAGTGGGTTGCACAGGAGCAGGTGCAATTAAAGGCTGACTTGTGGGTCAGTCTGAATTTTTTCCTGTACCTAGTGTGATGGCAGTTATTATTTTGGCTAGAAGCAGTCAGAATTATCCAAGAGTGTCTCCAGTGTCTCAGGGAGGGTTTGGAGTCATGGAGGTTAGGCTTTCTGCTTTAGTACCCTTATGCCAGTCTTGGATCCAGTGTTGCATTTTCTTACTTAATATCTACAGCAGTCTCTTTTGCAGATAAGAAACATGAAGTTTGAATAATTTTTCAAAGTCTCAACATAGATAGTTTGGAAAAATGTAGTATGTCAAAACTATTTCAGCCAGCCTCTCAGTGACTCAGGAGGCTAAGGAAGGAGGATTATGTGAGCCACTGAGTTTGGATCCAACCTGGCAATGTAGTGAGATCCTTTTCTCAAAAAATATAAAATCTCAAAAAAAAAAAAAAAAACCAAAAAACCCAAACCATAACTACTTTAAAGAAGGTGAGACCTCTCTTAAAAGGCACATGCTCAATAATCTGAAGTTCCTTTGGCTTTAACAGAAGCCCTCGGATAGAGCACCTCAACTCCAGCATAGATGTGATTAGAGGACATAAGTGCTGAAGCTTATGGACTTTTCCATATATAAGAAGGGAATGACTGGGCATGGTAGTACATGCCTATAATCCCAGCACCCGGGAGGCTGTGGCATGAGGAATATAAGTTCCAGGCCAGCATAGTCTATGTACTGAGACCCAGTCTCAAAAAAAACAATAACCCCCTCCAACAAATAAAAATAAGGGTTGGGTATTATGCACTTGTGTAATCCCAACACTTTGGAGACTGAGGCAGGTAGATCATGAGTTTCATTCCAGCTTGTGTACATAGCAAGTTCCATGCCCTCCTGAGCTATATACCAGAACCTTGTCTAAATAAAAATAAAGGGGTGGGGGTGAGAAAATATATAAACTATTAAAATGAACTTAAAATAAGTCCTCCCCTTCTTTCTTATGATTTTTTAACCCATAATTGATAGTAGGTACCTGATAGTTTCATATTAAAAATTGTAAGTTATACCAAGTTTCTAGTCTTCATATTAAAATTTCTGAATTATTTTCCTAGTAGGCAATGTTTTAACCTCCTTATATCAATTAATTTTAGGGATCTGAGAAGGCTGAGTCTGAAACTCTAGCTGTTATTCTTATAAATAAGAATTAACTTGAATTTGATCAGGTTACATTAAATATCACAATGAAATCCTCTTTGCACAATTAATATCTGCTAATTAAAGAGAATTTAATCAACTTGATGTTGCCTACAATGTGTGAGGCCCTGAGAGGAATCCCCAGCACTGCAAAAAATTTATTATTTATCTTAAAACATAATAACCTTTTTAAGGAAATATTCTGAATTCAAAAATATTCTTCTAAAAGATGTGAAAAATCTGTATTAGGTGACTTGTGTTTTGTCAGATATTGAGTTGTTGCATCTTTGTGGCCAGATATGTCATACGTTCTTGTTAGTGCTGAGTTGGTAGTGTACTCTGCCCCTTTGTTCCTTTGACTTGTCTGTCTTGCTGTAGATATGTGTGGGTGCTTCTTGGATAAGGAATTACATGACAGTAATCTTTGTCTTCATTTTTTCAACAAGGCACTCATTAATCTCTCTCAATTAAGAACAAATATTTTTCAACTTGGCCCTGGAGAATTTAACAGTGTTAAGAAGCCTTTTAAAAATTCTCATACTTGTGTACATTTGATTCTTTATTATAATTAATTATGCAATATGGTGTAAATAAAATTTATTTCCTATGTCACTTACAAACTCAAGTGTCCTAAAAATTTTTACTTATTTATTTAATTATTGTGCTGGGGGTACATTGTGGTATTTCCAAAGGTCTCACTCAGGTGTTTTTTAAAAAAGGCTTGGAGTAAGGCATGGTGGCACATGCCTAGAATTCTAGTACCAAATGCTGAGGCAGGAGTGTTAAGAGTTTAAGGTGAGCCTAGGCTCCATTTGAGTTCAAGGGAAGTCTGGGCTACATAGTGAAACCTTGTCTAAATAAATAAATAAAATAAATAAATCTAACTAACTTGGGTGTTTTATCTACTTTTTAGACTTTGTTCTTCCTCTTCATTAATGAGAAGGTAGAAGCAGTGTGATTAACTTGAAAGAACAATGGTTGTAGGTTTTAAGACTTTGATACTGGATTGGGTGGGTGTGGTGTTACATATCTTAATCCTAGCTATTTGGGAGGTGGGGACAGAAAGATCAAGGTTCAAGGTCAGCCAGGTGAAAAAGTTAGTAAGACTATCTCACAAACAAGCCAACGATAGTAGTACACATCTGTAGTTCCAGTTATTCAGGAGGCAGAGGTAAGAGGATCGCAGTCCTAAGCTGAAAAGTTAGTGAGAGACCTTATCTGAACATCAAATTAAAAGCAAAAGGACTGGTTTTTGTTTGTTTTTTGAACTATAGTCTCATTATACAGCCCAGGCTGGCCTGAACTTGTGATCCTCCTACTTCAGCCTCTCAAGTACTAGTATTATAGGCATGCACAACCATGCAAGACCCACTGATCATGTTCTACAGCACTTAGAAGTTATTGACCAAATAGAAAATGGTAAAATGAGGGATATGAAATACTGACTGATAAAGAGACAAATACTGTGTCATTTAGTTTGATGAGTACTTTTAAACCCCCTGCTAGCAGTGTTTTATAATGTTTATGTATAAACTTTGGATCATTTTCTGATTTATTTATTTCTTTTCTGAGATAAGATATTGTTAAGTTGCTCAGACTGGCCTCAAACTCACTATCTCTCTGCCTCTGCCTTCTCAGTAACTGGGACTTCAGGCATGTGCTGTTTTGCCTGGCTCTTTTCCTGATTTTTTTAAGCTTTGGGAGTGTTCCTAATATAATATTTAAGGCATTATAGAAAATAAACTGACTTTAAAATACAATATTTATTTTTTTTAACAGCCAAATAAAAGAGTCAGGTATGAGGGTATGCACTTGCAGTTCAGCTAGTTGTGAAGGTGAGGCAAGAGATTGTTTGAACCTAAGAGTTAGAGGCCAGACTGGGCATCATGGCAAGACCCCATATTAAAAAAATATTTTTAATATATAATTACACATTTTGCAGTTCTGGCATGTGAACACAGGGGCTCACACATGCTAGGCAATTGTTCTGCTAGTGAGTCATACTCCCAGCTGTATATATGAAATATGTGCCGTTAGAGAAGGTAAACTAATTTCGCTGTGCAGGGTAGAGATTGGGAGGACTGTCCTTTGAGGCTGGCCAGGCATAAAAGCTTATGAGACCCCATCTCTACCAATAGCTGAGCTCAGTGGCATGTGCCTGTTATCTTAGCTATGAAGGGAAGCAAAAATAGAAAGATTGACATCTAGGCTGGCCTGAGCATAAAGTGAGACCCTATCTCAAAAAATAACTAGCTCAAGTGGTATCGCATCTGCCTAGCAAGCATGAGACTCCAGTACCCCCAAAAATTAGAGAAAGAGAAAGTAAAGCAACTTTAACTATTATCAGTGAACAGTATAAATTTTTTTCTTTGTTTTTCTTTTTTATTGTCTTGAATATCAAACCCAGGGTGCATGATAGGCAAGTGCTTTACCACTGAGCCTCGTACCCAGTCCTTGGTTTTTTGAGAAAGTCTTGACCTGTAGCTCAGGCTGGTCTTGAATGCATGATCTTCCTGCCACAGCCTCCTGAGTGCTGGGTTTAGAGGCATTCGCCACCATGCCGTTTATAATCTTACTTTGAACAAGTTATGCCCCAGTAAAACAAAGCAAAATGAGATAAAATTTGGAGATTTATTACAATACTCTATATTTTTAGAATGCTAATTCTAAGTATGTTGATGTTAATTAAGTAAATTGTGTTAGCAAAAGTTGAAAAGAATTGCAAAATTAACAAAATAATTCTTGTTTATTTATACTAGAATATTTCATATTCTCTCTTGAACTTCTATGATCAGTTACTGGAAAAATAATAAACAGAATATTGTATCTTGCCTAGAAATGATTTGATGCTGATTTATTTTTTTATTTTTGGTTTAATCTGGGACAAGGTCTTACTTGGAGTTCAGGCTGGCCTTCAACTCACCTATCATTCTGCCTCAGTATCCTGAGTGCTGGAGGTACAGGTTGCTTTTTTATTTATGTTCGTTTACTAATTGAGAGGTAAGAAATATGTAGGAGAACTAGGCACCAGTAGCTCACATCTGTAATCTTAGCTACGCAGGAGGCAGAGATTAGGAAGATTGTGGTTTGAAGTCAGGATGAGCAGCAAATAGTTTGTATGACCCTATCTTGAAAATACCCAACACAAAAAAGGGTTGGTGGAGTGGCTCAAGTGGTAGAGTGCCTGCCTAGCAAGTGTAACATCCTGAGTTCAAACTCTAGTACCACCAATAAAAAGAAATATGGTAGGAGAAAGTTAGAAATGTATAAAATGCTGGGAGCTGGTATCTTATGCATGTAATTCTAGCTACTTGGGAGGTTGAGATTGGGAGGATTGAGATTTGAAACCAGCCTTGGAAAAACTTTGTAAGACTACATCTCAACCAGCAGTTGGGTGTGGTGGCCCTGTGCCTACCATCGCAGTAAGGACTGGAAACTTAAAATAGAAAGATTGTGGTCTAGGCCAGTCTGGGCCAAAAGCCAGACCCTATCTAGAGCAAAAAGGACTAGAAGTATGGCTCAAGTGGTAGAGTGCCTGCCTCGAAAGTACAAAGTCCTAAATTTAAACTCCAGACTGCCAAACCAAAGATGGAAGGAAGGAGGAAAGGGAGGGAGGGAAAAAGGGAGGGAGGATGAAAGGATGGAAGGAAGAAAGGAAACAGGTAAAATATGTAAATAAAGTCATGAATTTAGGAAGTTCACGTATTTCTAATAATTTTTGGTGATTATAATTAAAATGTAAATTTAGAAGTTGCTGAGCTTGGTAAAGGCCTTTTTTTTTTTTTTTTTCCTGTACTGGGAATTGAATTCAGGGCCTCGAACGTGCTAGGCAAACACTCTACCACTTAAGCCACACTCCCAGTCCTGTATTAAGTTCCTAAGTGAAATGAAAATCCAATGTTTCCATAGGTTCTGCACTTCCCTTACGGAATCCACCTCTACCTACCACTTTCCAACCAGGAGTTCTTCCTGGTCCCCCTCCAGCTGGTGGTCCACCTCCAGTAAGGGACCTCATGCCCCAGAAAACATCACATAGATCCTCACCCCAGCCATCATTTAATTCAGCTGTCAACCAAGAAGGTAAGCAAATCAAAAATAAAGTCATTTCCTGAAGTTTTAATTTAGGACACAAAGGGAATATTAACTGAATCCTGTGCCTTAGAATAGTATGTTTCTAGAAAGTCTAGTTGTAATTTTATATAGGCTTCAGGAATTCAGAGTTTAAAAAATTTCTGAGGCCTTCCATTGCATTATGATAGGCTGCACCCTAGCATTTGGGAACTACTGCTGTTGGCCTTCTTTCTTGCCCATTGATTCAACTGAAAGTTTCACTACAATTTTCTATATCAATTCATGGCTCAAGTCATGTTGGTCTTCAGAATTGGAAGAAAGTCATGATTTTATTGAAACTACTCAGCTTATCTGCTTGGTGTTGTATGACTGTTAGAATTAGCACTTTTGTACTTGGGTGTTAGGACCTGATTCTATTTGCTGAGTTTAGTTTCTACTGTTTCTGAAGTAGAACTTATAGATAGCAGAGGTACCTAGAAATAAAATTTTAGCCTTCGTAAACTGATGCTCCTGGCGTATATCTTTAGTCTTGTTCAGTATGGAAAAAGCAAACTAAAATTCTTATTTTATTTCTGTTGTTGTTCTCAAGACTTAAAGCAGTTTTAATTCATTTATGATCTGTCCTGAGTCCAGTGAATTTTGCACCCATGAATCAACCGACTTTGGATCAAAAATATTTGAAAAGAAATTTCATTTATAACAAACTTGTACAGACTTCTTTTTGGATGTGTTCTCTATTTAATATAGTGTGACAACTGTTTGCATTGTATTAGGTATTATAAATGATCAGGAGATGATTTAAAGTACTTGGGAAAGTGTGAGTAGGTTATATGCAGATGCTACACTGTGCCATATAAGGAATCTGAGCATCTGCAGATTTTGGTATTCTCAGGGTTCCTTGCAGTCCTTCAAGGATACCAAAGAATGACTGTATATAATTTTGAAATTAATTTTGGATTCCACTCCGTGGGATAGTTTGAAAATAAGGCCTTTTATCCTCATAATTTTAAACTGTTGAAGTAGTAGTAATTTTGATGATTTTTAATTTTTATTTATTTTTTGGTAGGACTGGGGTTTGAACTCAGGGTATTAAAGGTGTGCATAAGAGGCCCAGCTCCATAGAGGTTTCTTTTCTTTCTTTTTTTTGGTGGAACTGGTTTGAATTCAGGGCTTCACACTTGCAAAGCAGACACTCTACTGCTTGAGCCACATCTCTAGTCCATTTTGCTCTGGTTATTATTTAATTTATTTTTATGGTACTGGGTTTGAACTCAGGCTTGCCAGGCAAGGCTCTACCACTTGATATACTCTACCCTTTTTTGTGTTGGATATTTTTGAGATAGGGTCTCAGGAACTGTTTGGGCTGCCTTCGAACCTTGATCTTCCTGATCTCTGCGTTCTGAGTAGCTAGGATTATAGACATGAGCCACTGGTACCTAGCTACTTTGGTTATTTTGATGTGAAATGCCTGTTCACATAATTTACTCCTGAACACTTGACAGTTTTCATAGGCATTGGTTTAAGCTATTTCTTTTGAACATCACCTAAAATTTTAGATATTAGTACGTGTCTTGGAGAAATTGTAGTAATCATTCTTGTTAATGAACTTCCTTCTTAGGTATTACATCAAATGCCAATAATGGATCTATGGGGGTTCATAGTAGTTACGATGAAATTGAAGGAGGTGGCTTCTTGGGTGAGATGCTATGAGTTTTTTTCAATCTCTGTTTTGTCTGATTAGAGAGGTAATATGTGCTCATTGTAGGAAACTAAGAAAGAAAACTTCCTAATTTTTTTATGTAACAAGTTTTATTTTTAAAATATTTTTCCTTTCCTTCAGAATTGGTTTCATGGACTTTATTATTATTATGACAGTAGACTATTTTTATCAGTTAGATATATTTAAATTTATTTAGCCAATCCTGTAAACTAAACATTTAAGATGTTTTTAAACATTAAGGTTATTTTAACTTAAAAATCAATCTGAATACAAAATGCATTATATAACAGGAAAGTAAATTAACTATAGGAAACTTAATTTTTATGTGTTTATAGTTGTAGTCTTATATGAACTGGATTTTAATCATAGCTATTTGTTATCAATATTTGTCATTACAAAATCAATGAATAAAGGTATTAAATTAACCCAAAGGAGTTTGGAGTTATAATTTCTATAACTTCATGAAACTATATATTGATTTAATGTAATCTGGAGTATAAAATAGAACTTAAAAGTTATCTCATTTCTAGCAACACCACAGCTTACTAATAAGAATCCCAAAATGAGCCGAAGCGTTGGATATTCCTATCCCTCCTTACCACCTGGTTACCAGAACACACCACCCCCTAATACAGCTGGAATGCCATCCTCTTCCTTGAATTACCCAAGCAGCCCCCAGGCCTGTACTCAGGTAAACTTTTATTTTTTTAAATGACTGACTCAAATAATTTCCTTACAAAAAGCAATTGTCAAGTATCTGAAAGGACATAAGTTGAAAACACTTTTTGGGAAACCTTTTTTTTAGCCTATTTTCCACTTTTTGGTTTAAACTGTATGCACACTTGAGGAAACTTTAGGAAGACATATTGAACATTGTTATAATCTGAGTAATAATGGATATTCATAAAGAAAGTCTTTGTACTTACATATTTCTCTAGAACCACAAGATTGGCCAGGAAACCTAGATGGCACTTTTCTTATTTAGAGAGAAATGAGCAAACCTCTACACAGTTACAAAGGTGACTCACTTTGGGATTGTGTATCTGTAGACTCCCTTAGGTGCTAATCACTTAACTGCAAGCATGAGTGGATTAAGTCTACATCCAGAGGGTCTAAGAATTGTCAATCTTCTTCAAGAGAGAAACATGCTTCCCTCAACACCATTAAAGCCTCCGGTTCCAAATTTACATGAAGACATCCAGAAACTCAACTGTAATCCAGAGTAAGGCACCAAATAGCACTTCTTATTAAATGTGATATTATGTATGTTCTAAGTTTTCTAGTGGGCTTTATTTTTACTACTTTCAGATGCTATGAATATGCTATACAGGTAGACTAATTTATGACTCAAGTTTTGAATTTATGACTAGAACTCTGTTGCTTTCTTGAGATTTGCTATGTTCTAAATTAGGAAACAGGATCAAGTGTGGTGGTGGTATATGAATATAATCCCAGCATTCAGGAGGCAGGGGCAGAAGGATCTAGAGTTCTAAGCCATGTGCCATGGACTACATAGCAAGTCCCTATCTCTAAAGACCAAACCAAATAAAATAAAAAAAGAAGAAACAAACAAACAAAAAAAGAAATAGGGTTGTAAACCCTGATGTGAGTGATACTCTTTATCATTTCCAATAAGATTATGATATTCATTATCATTATGGTAGGTGGTACATTCCAAAGTACAGTGATATGAGTCTACATAACTTTTCGCTTCATTTTAAATTGATTTCATTAAAAACATAACTATTATACTCATTTTCCACCTAATTTATTTTTATTGAAACAAGGTCTTGTTTTGTAGCCCAGGCTGGCCTTGAATTTGAGATCCCCCTGACCCAGTCTCCTGAATGCTGAGATTACAGGCATATCCCTCCACATCTGGCTATTTCTTTCCTAAATATTGGCCATGTATATAATGAAGACTGACAAATTTTGATATTAAAATTTGTCATATGTTTTAAATTTTGTTATTTTGAAATAGTATTTTTAGAACTTTCAGCAAAACTGAACTTTTAAGTAATCAACTTTGACTAGGTGGGTGGCACACTTCTAGCTATTCAGGAGGCTGAGATGGGAGGTTGACTTCAGCCCAGTAGGTCAAGACCAGCCTAGGTAGCATCAGGAGACCCCATGTTAAATCAAAATAGAAACAATAAAGTTTGTATTTACTGGTTTTGGTTATCATCCAGTAATTCTAGTGTAATCTAGACTTAAGTAAAGAAAAATAAGTCATTTGATAGTCTAGATGGTTTCACACAGCATCCATGAAGAGACTGTGTTTAATTACATGAATAGGACAACTGTGTATTCTCCATTTCTGACTAGGACTTAGACTTTATTTATTTTTCAGACAAGGTCTTGTTGTGTAGCCCAGGCTGGTCCTCAACATGTGATCCTATCTCATTAACTTCCCTAGTCTGGGATCACTGGTATGCACCATCATAGCCAGCAACTGGAAAAAGAATTTTGTTTTTTTTTCTGATGGTACTAGGGTTTGAACTTAGGGCTTTTCACTTGTAAAGCAGGTACTCTACCATTTGAGCCACACCTCCAGTCCATTTTTTGCTCTGGCTGTTTTGGAGATGGGGTCTTAGTAACTATTTGTCCGAACTGGTCTCTAACTTGGGGGGGATCCTCCTGATTTCTGCCTCCCAAGTAGCTAGGATTACAGGCCTGAGCTGTCAGCACCTCGTGGTGGCATACAATTTTCAGAGGTTCAGTGGGTGCCAGTGGCTCATACATGTAATCCTAACTATTTGAGAGACTGAGATCAGGAAGACCAAGGTTTGAAGCCAGCCCTGGCAAATAGTTCATGAGACCCCCATCTCTAAAATAACTAGAGCAAAATAGACTGGAGGTGTGGCTCAAGTGATAGAAGCCTTGAGTTCAAACTCCAGTTATACAAAATAATAATAACGATAATAATAATAATTCAGAGGTTCTATGAAATAATTCATTTGTAATCTGATCTAATATTAAGATGTGTGTCTTTTCAATCTCTTTTTTTAATTTCAAAATAATAATGGCGAGAACAGCAGCTAAAAGCTGGCTGACATTCTGGGCCTGGTTTTTGCCAACTCTGTTGTCAACTATACCAGGATGTCAGCATAGTTGAAAAAAAAAAAAAATAATGGCAGTTGACCTGTGCATTTTTTTGTTTTTAAGGTTATTTCGATGTACGCTGACTGGCATTCCTCAGACTCAGGCCTTGCTGAATAAAGCCAAACTTCCTTTGGGACTGCTTCTTCATCCTTTCAAAGACCTAGTGGTATGTTTCTCTAGGGAAAGGAAATGGGGAAAATTCTTTTAGTGGGGAAAATTTTCTATAAGACTTCTGGACTTGTACATAGAATTTATTTGAGCCATCTTTAGGAACTTGGCTACTGACAGACTATTTATTTTAGTGGTACTAGGGTTTGAACTCAAGGCCTCTACCTGCTAGGCAGCTGCTCTATCAATTAAGTCACTCCACCAGCCTTTTTGTGTTGGGTATTTTTGAGATAGGGTCTTGTTTTTTGCCCCGGCTAACCTCAAACTGTGATCCTCCTGATCTCTACCTCTTGAGTAGCTAGAATTACAGATGTGAGCCACTGGTGTCTGGTGCTGACAGGCTTTTTTTTTTTTTTTTTTTTTTTTGATATATAGGTTTTGAACTCAGGGCCTCACTCTTGCTAGGCAGGCGCTCTACCACTTGAGCCATTCTGCCAATCCAATAGACTTTTTTAATGTTTGTAATTCTACCAATACTTTTATTACCAAACACTTTAGAAACAGGGTAAAATAAGTAAAATAAGTGTGTTATTGAAAAATCCAAAGGTGCTGATAGAGATACTGAAAGGAAATAAGTAAATGAATCATACTATTTTACTAAGTTGTAAGTCATTTGCCTTTATCCTGTTCTCCATGTTCAGCCATTCTTGGGGTAAAATTAGTTGCTTTAAGAAATTGCCTACCCTCAAAAAGTAAGTAAGTAAATAAAATTAAAAAGAAGTTGTTCCAGAAGAAAAAAAAATGCCTATCCATTATGTCCTAAAGCTATGGAACCTTGACATATGACCACATACTCTTTTCTTTTTTCTGTTGTAGTTGGTGAATGTTGTTTAAGAGATTGAACCCAGGGCCTCATCCATATTAAGCAAGTGCTCTACACTGAGCTACATCCCTACCCCTTACCGATTTTTGATATGAAGACTTTTAAGTTTTAATATGTATGATAAAATTTAAATACTAAACTTTATAACAGTTCTTTTGTGAGAACTCAGTATGCCTCTTAATACAACATAAAAACTCTTTGTAGTAATTGCAGTCATTACTGTTTTAGAATGTAGTCCCTCCCATGGGAGGCTGAGACACGAGGATCTTAAGTTCCAGGCCAACCTGGGCAGGTCAGTGAGACCCTATCTCATAAACAAAGAATGTTGATCCTGTCTTCTTGGCCATCTATCTTAAAATTACATTGCAGATGTACTGTCTTGGGTTTATAATGTGAATGTTTAATGAGAAAATAAGTACCTTTTTTAAAAGGCAAATGTATATGTGAATGGTCCGGGAGGAAATCAATACATTTCAGTTGCATACATTTTTATCTGACAAGTGGAATTCTTTTTAGTCTTAAATTTTTTTCTCCTAAATTAAAATGTTCCAGTAGTTACCTGGAAAGGGTAGATTAATGTTTCCCTTTCAAAGTGATGATCATTGTCTTGAAAAACTTATTTCTGTTTTTTCAGCAGTTGCCTGTGGTTACTTCCAGTACAATTGTGAGATGCCGTTCATGCAGGACCTACATCAACCCTTTTGTCAGCTTTCTTGACCAAAGGAGGTGGAAGTGTAACTTATGTTACCGAGTCAATGATGGTATGCTTTTTTGAAATAAATAGTGAGACCCCCATCTCAGAAGAAGAGCAGCTCTCTTATTTACCTTTATATATGTACAATTGATTCTCCCGCTCAAAACTACTGGTAACTTTTTTCTATGTACTTATGATTATAAAGAAATACGTATGGGCTGGTGGAGTGGCTCATGTGGTAGAACACCTGCCTAGCAAGCATGAGGCCCTGAGTTCAAACCCCAGTACCACCAAAAAAAGAAAAAAAAAATACATTGATTTAAAGCAAAAAACGTGATAATATCTGCAGACCACTTTTTTACATTGGTTATTTTGGGAGTATAGTAAGTGGCTTATTTCATGGTTTATTTAAGCCAGTAATTTTAGAAATACTTTGTAAGAGGTAAAAGAAAGCACATGCATGTAATAGCTGGGGTTTGAACTCCAGGCCTACCCCTTGAGCCACTCCACCAGCCCTTTTCTTGTGATGGGTTTTTTTGAGATAGGGTCTTGTGGACTATTTGCCTGGACTGGTTTCAAACCAAAATCCTCCTGATCGCTGTATCCTGTGTAGCTAGGATTATAGGTGTGAGTCACGGGCACCCAGCTGTACGAGAATTTTAAAAATTACTTTTATTGAGCCTGGTATGGTGGTACACATCTGTAAATGTAGTATTTAGGAGGCTGAGGCAGGAGTATTGAAACTTTGAGGCCAGCCTCAAATCTACTACATAGTGATTTCAGAGCCAGCCTGAGCTACATAATGAGACCCTGTCTCAAAAAAACAAACAAACAAAAAAGAAAACCAGCCGACATAGTGGAACACTTCTGTAATCCCAGCACATGCAGGAAGAGGTGGATTGCAAATTCAAGCCCAGTCTGCATTTATATAATGAGACTTGTCTCAAAGCAGCAACAAAGAAGGAAAGAAAACACTAAAACCCATATCCATTTTTATTTTTGTATGTACTTTTTTTTTAAGATTAGAAGAAAATAAGCTAGAGGATTGTGAGTTTGAAGCTAGCCTGTGCTACATAGGGAGTTTCAGGCCAACCTGGGCTATACAGTGAGACCTTATCTCAAACAAATAAACCAACAAAAAAGTTAGGAAAGGAAAATGAGAACAGATAAAGAACATTCTTTTACTCTAATAATTCAGGAAAAATATATGTGTATGTGCTTTAATATACAAAGTTAAATTTTGGTGAAACTTGAAGCCTCTTTCATATGCTTACAGGCCCATTTCTTGAACTATAGCTTACTATTTAAAGTACATAGGGAATTTAGTTTTTAAGCAGTTATTGTCAAGACAGGTGCAGTGATATTTGATTTTAAAAAATGCTCTGAGTACTAGTGTGTTATAGGTAGTAAGTAGTTAAGTTCCATAGAGGTCTCATTAATTAATGAAACTGACTAATATCTTATGGATTTAACCTCTGAAATAGTGTTACCTTAGCTTTCTAGGTTTAGCCAGTCTATACATTTTACGTATCAAGTGTTAATATTTTTGAATAATTATGAAATTACTGAAAATAATTAGCATTTAGTAAGATTTCTTGTTATCTTTTCAAGCTATTTTAGGAAATCAGCTTTAACAAAAACTAATATAAAGAGGATATCAAGATGATATCCAGATGAGAAAAGAAAAATCACAGGAATTATATGAAAGCAAGGCACACTTAGTATATGCAGAGCTTGAATGGAGCTTTAAGAAAAATGAATTTATTCCTTAATGTTAGGCTATGTTGAATTAATTATAAACTCTTGAATCAATTAAGTGGCCAAATATAAGGCATATTCAATTAATCTTTTCAGTTTTATCTGTATAACATTGTAACTTTATACAGTTCCTGAAGAATTCATGTACAACCCTTTGACCAGAGTCTATGGAGAACCTCACAGGAGACCTGAAGTTCAAAATTCTACTATTGAGTTTATGGCTCCTTCAGAATACATGGTGAGCTTAAATTGTTTAATGCAGTGAATTCATTTAATAATAATGGATTTAAAGTAAACAATTCAGTGTGTCCTTTAACAAAATTTTGTGCATTTAAAGTCAGAAAGCATAATACTTGTTTATTGTAAAAACGTGAAGATATATGTAAAATTCTACTTAAGTTTACTCTATCCATCAAGGGATTTGCAATATAATATTGGGGTCATATTTATAGTTAAGCAGTTTTTGTTAGAAAAATGTTTATTAACAAATAACACTGTGATTAACATCCTCTTCCAAGTAATTTTATAATCTGGTAAGAGTATTGTGGTCTTCCCCAGGAACTAGAGTAAACATTAGTTTGAGAAGAATTAATTTAGAATGTAACACGTATGTACAGGAAAGCAATGCAAGTCAACTCCCTGTATAGCTATCCTTATCTCAACTAGCAAAAACCTTGGTCCTTCCTATTATTGCTTATACTCTCTCTTCAACAAAATTAGAGATAAGGACAAAATAGTTTCTGCCTGGTAGCGAGGGGGTAGGAGGGGAGAGGGAGGGGGCGGGGGTAAGGGAGGGGACAGGGAGAAGGGGGGAGAAATGACCCAAGCATTGTATGCACATATGAATAAAAGAAATTAGAAAAAAAAAAGCATTGTGGTCTTCCATTTTAAAAATAGGAGTTGGACTGGAGCTGTGACTGAGACGGTAGAGTGCCTGCTTTGCAAGTGCAAAGCCCTGAGTTCAACCACAGTCTCACCAAAAATAAATGAATAAATTTTTAAAAAGTGTGTACACACACATATGAGTTATGAGCTGGGCATAGTGGTACATGTCTGTTATCTCAGCACTCAGGAGGCTAAGGCAAGAGGATCTCAAGTTCAAAGCCAGTCTGGGCTACATAGTGAAACCCTATGTCAAAACAAACAAGAATTATGCCTAATATTTAGTACTTTCCATTTTACAAAGCATGCACTTTTTTTTTATTATCACAAATAGCACTGGGAGGTCAGTTAGCAAAATTCTATTAATCCCATTTTATAGATGTGAGGACAAATTTAGCTTGAGTGACTTGACAAATACCACTAAGTAAGTGGTAATACTTGCCTAAAGCCCAAGCCTGGGCTGGGTGTGTGGCTCAGTGGTAAAGTATTTACCTCCAATGTGCTAGGCCCTGGGTTTGATCCACAGACAGAAACCCAGACCTATTGATATGGTTTTTCTTTTTTTCTTTTTTTCTTTTTTTTAGGTACTGGGGTTTGAACTCAGGGTGTACACCTTGAGTTACTCCACCAGCCCTTTTTTTGTAATGGATTTGAGATAGGGTCTTTTGCCAGGCCTGGTTCGAACTGTGATCCTCCTAATCTCTGTATCTTGAGTAGCTAGGATTATAGGCATGAGCCACCAGCTTCTGGCCAATATGGTTACTCTTTCACTGCACTATCACTTCTTCCAGGGAAAAGAGAATATAAGGTAAGAATTAATGCCAACCTTTAGGAGACTAATATATTAGCGTGTTTTTCTGGCATAGTCTTTAGGCAGTTGGGTTCTGTTGCTGTGGAATTTACGAGGGTTCAGTCTCTTTCACCACAAAGGTGCAATGGAGAAAACATTTTGTGGCTCTTAAGTAGTTGGTAATAGTTTTCTGCAGTGTAGCCGTCTCTTTGTTGAATTAAAAACAAACAGATGCATTAGCAGCATCTGTTCTTTCAAAATGGCCTTGAATTCCTTTAATCTTGTAGCTTTTAATGGCTTCCTTTACATTTGGAAACTTGTCTGGCTTCTTCCTGACTTATTTCATGAGCGACAGGTTTTATAGATTTGGCAAGTGATACATGCAAAAATATACAAAAGTTACTATACTATATGCCTCATTTTGGTTATGATTATTTGATGCTTTTTACTGAATTGAATGCAAGCCATTATAAAAGAAGTTGATGAAATACCATCTCAATTTTTAAAGGATATGACTGAAATGTGTTAGTTAAATTAAATAACCAGCTGAGGCTAACTTGATTTGTCACTTTCAAAAGAATGTTTTCCCTGAGTTGTGGAATATAATGTTCATATGGAAAAGTCAATAAAACACAAATATGTAGGTTATCAAATAATTATAAAGAAACACCTTTGTTAGTACCACCTAGGTCAGGAAGTTGAACATTGCCAATACTTCCAGGAACCCTTCTTATCATATTTCTTTCCATTTCTTTCCCAAAGAAAACACTTGCACTTTTTTGTTTGTTTTGGTGGTACTAGGGTTTGAACTTAGGACCTCATGCTCACTAGGCAAATACTCTACCACTTCAGCCAGCATGTTTTATGCTGAGTAATTTTGGGATAGGGTCTTAAGAACTGTTTGCCTGGACGGGCTCCAGATGGCAATCTTTCTGATATCTGCCTCCCGAGTAGCTAAGATTAGAGGTGTGAGCCACAAAAACATTCTTGACTTATGGCAGGCACAGACTCATTTTTCTTTTAATTATGCATCTATAAACAGTATAAGACAGCTTACATGTTACCTCCACTCAGTCTGTGAATAATGCTTATTTTATGGTTTTGCTGTCTATAGACCTAGTAAGTAAGATTAAATTCAGTCCTGTTAAATGTATTTAATGAGATTCTTTCTTTTTTCCCCCTTCAGTTACGACCACCACAACCTCCAGTGTACCTCTTTGTATTTGATGTGTCTCACAATGCAGTTGAAACCGGATACTTGAATTCAGTTTGCCAGAGTTTGTTAGACAATCTGGATTTGTAAGTGTCTCAACTTAGCTTAAATCTGAGACTAACAGTGTTTGCAAAATGAATAACTAGTTTTTAAATACAAACAAAGTTACATAATTATGTTCTAAAAGTCCACTTAAATCAATTTAATCATAGGCCTCACTTTTCATAGGAACATTATTTTCAAACCTGTGTAAATAGGAAAGATGGAATGAACCTCCAGTATTGCTCTGCCAACTTCATCATTTTCTGTTGTTTTCACTTCATCTCACCCTTCTCCTTTATACACATTTTCTTCCTCTTGAGTATTTTAAAGCAAGTCTCGGCCATCGTTCTCTTTACCTATAAATACTTTAAGACTTTTAACCCTAACTTCAATACTAGGATCACACTAAGCAAAAGTAGCAATAATTCCATCACATTTAATACCCTAGTTTATTTTTTTGTTCCTAGTTGTCTCAAAAAAATCTTTTCACCATAAACTTGTTGGGATAAAATTTCAAATAGCATGCATACTTTGCATTTGGTTGTTATAACTTTTAACTCTCTTAAAATAACTGTATTTTAAATGTTGCTTGAACTATTAGCGTAATCCATGAGAACTAGCATGGCTGTTCAATGGAAGGAAGTACAGTGCTCTTGTATGATAAGGAGGAATGTGTAGACCTAATCTTAGCACAAGTGGAGTGGCTCCCTCACCTCGGGAATAAGACATCCTCATTTCTGCCATAACTTGTATTTCTCATGTTGTAGATTGTATATGGGGGTTATGTGTTGGTGAACTAGCCCATTGACTCAACCCCAAGCATGATCGATAAGATAAAAAGCTAGTTTCTTTCCCCTTTAAGCAACTGTGGCTTCACATTTATGTTCTTTAAAAGAGGTGGTTTTGGTCTTCTTTGTTCTTAAGGAATTACTTTAAGTAATATAAAAAGGGTTGTGCACATTTTTTAAAAGATTCACAACCTAAATTTATGTTACATTTTAGAGATGGTATGTGATAATATTTGTTCATGTTGTTGGGGATTGAACCCAGGACCTTGCTCATCCAGACAAGTGCTTTACCACTGAGTTACATCCCTAATTCCTGATGCATTCTTTAGAAAATCACTTTAAATTGTACATATATCCGGTACTTTTACATGCTACTTCCTAACTAATTACATATAACTTTATGTTGTATAGAAGTAATAGTTTGAGTGGCTATTTGGCTTATGTGTAGGATATTTTTTCACGGTTGGGAACATTGGCTGGTTTAAAGAGTTATTTATGTTGGGTCACTTTTTGTAATACTTAATTAGATGTTTGTTTCTAAGCTTAGCAGATATTTCATGTGCCTATATTTGGGAAAACTTTACAAAACATTCTCTGAATTTTGCTTTTAGGCTTCCTGGCAACACTAGGACAAAAATTGGCTTCATAACATTTGACAGCACAATTCATTTCTACAGTCTTCAAGAAGGTCTCTCCCAACCACAGATGCTAATAGTTTCAGACATTGAAGGTATGTGTTTTGCACTTTCATTTATTGAACCGCCTCAGGGATTTTTCCATTTTAGAAATACTTCATGACCATTTGACAAATTAGCAGTATATGGTATGCATCTATTCCATGAAGGAAAATCTTGATTATAAAGTCATTAGATTATTGGAGCTTAAGAGTCCTTTAATCCAATCTCTTTTTTAGAAAAGAGGAAACAGGGTTATGGAGATAAAGTGAATTCTGAATAAAGTAACAAAATCAAGTCAATGTTAGAATTTGGATTAAAGTTAGGATCCCTTTCCCTTTCTTCGCATTCATTCATTCACTTACTCAAGAAGTATTTGAGGACTGGCAATGTAGAACGCTTGATTAACATGCAGAAGACCCTGGGTTCAGCTGGGCACCAATGGTTCATGCCTTTAATCCTAGCTGCTTGGGAGGCTAGCCCAGGGAAATAGTTTGTGAGACTACATTTCACCCAGTAGCTGGGCTCAGTGGCACACACCTGTACTCCCAGGAACAGGAGGAACACTAAATAGGATGATTGTGGTTCAGACCAGCCTAGGCAAAAGATCGAGACTCTATAGAAGATATAACTATATGTACTAAATGCTACAAATAATGAGGGGAAGGAAGGGTTTGTAAGGAAGAGTAACAGAGTGAGTTGAACTGATCAAAGTAAAGCATATTCACAGCTGGGATACATTGAAACCCCTGTGAACTTTGACTCTGGAATTAATAATGAAAAGATAAGACTGTAAAATATAAGTACAGTGACAGTGTGTGTGTGTGTGTGTGTGTGTGTGTGTGTGTGTGTGTTGGGGGGGTGCTTGTAGGAAGAGGGAGAGTGAGCAGAGATGAAGACGAAGGAAATAGAACAATGAAACCTCTTATAATTGCTTTAACTGTAATGGAGAGGAGAGGGCATGGGGATGGGGGGAGATGTAGGGGGTGATCTAACCAATGTGTACAATGTAAGGCTATTCAGAATTGTCACAACAAATCCTCCCCCCCGACCCCCTGTATAACGAATATATGCTAATAAAAATGAAAAAAACAAAACCAAAACAAAATAAAAAAGAAAGATTGGGACCCTATCTCTAATATAACCAGAGCAAAGTGTGTTACAGCATTTCTCAAGAGCTAGAGCACCTCTTTCACAAGTGCAAAACTCTGAATTCAAACACCAGTACTATTGGTGGGGGGAGGACCCTGGGTTCATTCCCCAGTGCCACAGCAGTAAAAATAACAACATAAGCATTTGAGGGTGCACATGCAGACTCAAAATTTGTATAGTGAGCATAGAAATAAACCTACTCTATATGGCCAATTTTTTTTTTTCTTTTTCTATACCACTACCTTACACTGGTCAATTGATTTTTGACAATGGTGCCAAGACCATTGATGGGAGAAAAGGTAGACTTTTCAGCAAATGGTTATGGGAAAACTAGATATGCAAGAGTGAAGTTGTATGCATACCTTATAACATTTAATGGAAATAAAAATGGATTCAAGACTGAACTTAAGAGGTAAAAGTATAAAACATAGGGGAAAATTTTCATGACATCCTAGAGAGAACACCAAAATCACAGGTAGTAGAGGGGAAAAACAATTAGATTTCATTAATAGTAAAAACTTGTGCATCGGATGTAATGATACCTGCCTGTAAGTATCAGAGGGAGGAGGATCATGAGTTCAAGGCCAGCTGGGCAAAGTTAGAACTATTTCAAAATCAAACTCAAATAGTTAGGCCTATTTTCAAGTTCATATGGTACAATGTTTGCCTAGCATGTATGAGGCCCTGGGTTCTATCCCAGTACCTAAAAGAAAATAAAATATTTTTGGTTTGATAGGTAACTCTGTAATAGGAGTATGCCTAGCATGCACAAAGCCTTGGGTTCCTTCCCCAGTACTGCAAAGGAAAAACAGAACAAGCTTTTGTACATCTGAGGACACTAACCAGAGAGTGAAAAATCAGCCCACAGAATGGGAGAAAGTATTTACAAATTATATAACTGATAAGGAATTTAATATGCACAAGGCATAAAGAACTATGTCTCAAAAATAACAACATGATTAAAAAATGGGCACAGGATTAGGCTAGACAATTTTCCATAAAAGATATGCAAATGGACAATAAGGACATGAAAAAATACCATCTTTAATCATTAGGGAAATGTGAGTCAAAATCACAATGAAACCTGGGGATGTAGCTCAGTGGTAGAGTGCTTGCTTTGCATGTTCAAGGCTTTGGGCTCAATCCTAAGCACCAAAAGCAAAAGAAAACAAAAATCCAAAAATCACAGTAAGTTAACTACTTCACATCCATCAGGAGAATGGCTAGTTTTTTAAAAATGGAAAGTAATAATTGTTGGCAGGGTGTGGCAACAGTGTAACCTCTCTGCATTGATGGTGGGAGTGGAAAATGGTACAGCTGCTGTGGAAAACAGTGGTAGTTCCTCACAGTTATTGTGAAATTAGCATATTATTTCATAATTCTACTTCTCATTTTATACCTGAAAGAATTAGAGCAGAGAAAAATCATTCTACATCATTATTTAGATTGTTTTTAGATTATTTCTAGCAACATTATTTAGACTAGCCAAAAGTTGGAAATACCCCCAGTAGCCATGAGCAGGCTAATGAATAAGCAAAATGTGGTATAGATATATAATAGAATATTACTAGGCTTAAAAAAGAACGAGTGCAATGTGGATGAAGCTTAAACATTTTGCTAATTGAAATAAGCCTTACACAAAAGGATAAATGGATTGTATGATTCCACTTATGTGAGGTACCTTCCACTTACGTGAGTAGGCAAGTTCATAGGCAGAAGATAAGATGGAGATTATCAGGAGCTGGGGGTAAAGGGGACCAGGGAACTGTGAGTGGGTTCAGAGTTTCTGTGTGGGATGATGAAAAGGTTCTGAAAGCATAATGATGGTTACACAGCATTGTGAATGCATCAAATGCCACTGACTTGTACACTGAGAAGTAGTTAAGATGGTGAATTCTATACATTGCATGTATTTTATCACATAAAAATATTAACTCAGGCTGGGAGTGTAGCTGAGTGACTCGGTGCTTACTTACCTTGCATGATGCCATAGGTTTGATCCCCAGCACCACTAAAAAAGAAAACTTCTAAAAACATAGAAAGGAAGCAGCTCAAAGTGGATCATAGACCCAAATGTGAGGCTAAGAGTATAAAAGTGTTAAGAGAAAACACAGGAGTTATTTCTTAGATATAATTTAGATAAATTGGAAGTACTGGCAATCAAAGAGGGGGAAATAGATAAATTTGGTTTCTTCAAAATTAGAGTTTTGTACTCAACAGGTAGAGACAGAAGGATCACAAGTTCAAGCCCAGTCTGAGCCGCACAGGGAGATGCTGTCTCAAGAAAACAAAATTACAAAATAGCATCATTAAGAAAGTAAAAAAAAAAAAAAAAAAAATGGACTGAGTGAGTGTAGCCCAGTGGTAGAGCATTTGCCTGGCATGAACAAGGCCCAGGGTTTGATCCCCAGTACCGCAAAAAATAACCAAAGTGAAAAGACAGCCCACCAAGTGGGAGAAAATATTTTCAAATCATATCTGATAAGGAATTTTTTTCTAGATTGTGTAAGTAACTCCTACAGTTAACAATAAAAAGACAGACTGCCCAACCAATGGTTAGATAAAGAAATTTGAAAACACAAAATTCTGATATTCAGAATTTTGGAGCTGGAGATGTAAGCTCAGAGGTGCCTAGCTTGTACAAGGCTCTGTGGTTCAGTCCCCAGCACCTACAAAAGTATCTACAGATGTATTTGGCAAATGCTGTACATCCTGACTATCAGGCAAATACAATGAAATGTGGCCTCATAGCAAGTAGGGTGGCTAAGATTCAAGAGGAGGACAGTAGCAAGTACTGGTGAGGATGTGGAGACATTGGGATCCTCATACACTGCTAGGAGAAGGTGAAACGGAGCAGCGATGGTGGAAAACAGTCTGCAGTTCCTCACAGTTAAACAGAGTTACCATGTGATCCAGCAGTTCCACTCAGTAGATACATACTCAAGAATGTTGACAGCATGTCCGTAAAAATTAATATGTGAACGTGCATAGTAGGAACCAAAAAGTGGAAACTACTCAGTTGTCATCTGATGAATAGATAAACAAAATGTGGTCTTGTCCTACAACGGGATGTGATACAGATGAATCATGAAAACATTTTGCGACAGAATGGAGTCAGTCACAGACAAACACATAGAGTGTTGTCCTCTTTATGTGAAATGTCTAGAACATACAACTCCACAGGGACAGAAAGCAAATTAGTTGCCAGGAACTTGGGGAAAGGGAACTGGGAGTAACTGTGAGTGGTTACAGTGTTTCTTGTTCAGGCAGTGAAAAAGATCTATAATTACATGAGATGGTGGTTGTACAACCTTGGAAATAGATCACAAATCTGACAAGTGTTTTTTGTTGTTTTTGCAATAAAACAAAGCCCATCCCAGGGCTTTGCACATGCTAGCTTGTGCTTTACCACTGAGCTATACCCCCAGCCCAGAACTGTTCTCTTTATGAGGATGTACTTTATGTGATGTGAATTATATCTCAATAAAGATGTTAGAAAACTTTTTGTTTTTGTTTATTATTTGTTTGTTTCTGAGACAGGGTCTCGCTGGGTAGCCCAGGCTGGTCTAGAATTCATGATCTATCTGCCTCTGCCTCCTGAGTGCTTGGATTTTAGGCATGCATCACCATGCCTGGCTATAAAACACAGAGAAAGAAAGCCTAAAGAGTTGGCATTAAAACTTTCAAATCATTTATTGGTATTATTTTTATAAGGTTCTTAATAATTGTTATTTTTTGTGAAAAGCAATTTTTCTTTTAATTCATCACCTGTGTTCTCTTCATAGTTTGCTTCCATCTAAGAAAGAAATTTAATTCCTGGGGAAGAATAATTGTGTGTCTCCTGAACTGATCAGAAGACCTTCTGGTTCACTTTATTTTGTAATCACAAAAAGGGGCCTCCGTGTGAGCCTTTTTTTTCAGGAAGCATCTGCATTTTGAAGGACAGATGTGTTGGTGAACTGTACTTCGTATAAAGGCAACATTCTTGTGTGTCATGTTAGTTGCCTTTTTAAATTTTTTTCATGTCCCATCTACTTCCTTTCTCTAGAGCCCTTTTTAAATGCCAATAGTCAGTCTTTGCTGGCTTGCAGGGTCAGCCATAAAAAGGGAAGGTAAAGCAATATGCCAAATTGCTATCTCTAACATAAGAAGAACGTAACTTTTACAAGACTTTACTGAGTGCTTACAGATCAATATTTTTTACGTGGATGGCTGCTTCCAGACAAGAAACAGAACAGTTGCAATATGTACTTGAGTCAGTGTTCCTTTGGTGGCTCCTTGGTCATTTGTATGTAGTGCTGTAATAATGGAGTGGTAGGTTTTCTTTAAGTACAGGGTGGTTAAGTGAGTCTTTGTCAATGTATTTCCAGTATCTTTAACAATGAAATTTTGTTGAAAACAAGTATTTCCTTATTCTTTCAGATGTTTTTATACCTATGCCAGAGAACTTACTAGTAAATTTAAATGAAAGTAAAGAGGTAAGGAACATTTTTCTATCTGCCATATTTCATTTAAATATTAAAGTCCTATTTTTGAAATGATTGTTCAGTTAAAGTTTTGCTTCTTTCCTTGACATTTCTAGGATATGTAGCATTTTATATCTGTTCTTACTTTAAGTTCACTAGATGAATGGTTCTTGAGTTCAGTCTTGTGCCAGTCATTTTTGATTCTACTGCAGCAAGTTATTTGTAGTAGAGTTCTTCTTTCCAATAGGAAGAACACTTGAAGACCTATCCTGCCAGCCTTGTGGGAGGTGGGAGGGTTGCTGAGATTCCCTGCGGGGGTGGGGAAGCACATTAGCCAGGCTACTCTCAGTGCCCTTTGCTTTTCTGATTCACAGAGTGTCATTGGGGTCAGTTCAGAAGAAACTTATTACCTGCCTGGAAATTGCCATGACATAATACAATGAGAGGTGAACAGAACGTGTCTGAAGGGGGATGTTGTCTACCCTGTACATGCATCTATGCTGTAGGGGTGACATTTTCACTAGCAAGTCTATGGGCTCTGCGCTTAGCAGTGGTCATTGTGCCATAGTATGAAGTATTTTTTTACCCATTAATTCTCTTTATTTTTACACCCTAACCTGAAGAGGTAGATGGTTTTGATTTTGTTTTTCTTAGTAATAATATTACTACTTGGCAAGTTAATAAATAACTTAGATTTTGCAGTAGGGGAGAGTTACACTCACTTTGGAACTTAAAAGAATAAAGTATATAGAGGTGATGGAGAAAGCCATATTTGATGGCGTTAAAATAGATCAAATTTCTACACAGGATGGTTCTTTTGGATGTATTTTGGACTTATAGTCTTGCTGCACTGTTGCATGTATGAGAACTGTAAGGCCCCAATTTTGATGTCTTGCTTGCTGATTTACAATTTGATTTAAAATGGCTTTCTTGTCATTTGACCAACTTCATTATTCACTGTAGTGTCTGTAGATTCTCTGAACGTCATCATGACTCAGTGTCTCGTCTGTTGTATTAGGTACTTACTTAGAGTGAAAAAGATTTTTAATTGTAACACTCTTGAGTTTTCTTTTTTTATTTCACAAGCTTGTCCAGGATTTACTGAAAACTTTGCCACAAATGTTTACCAAGAGTCTGGAGACCCAGAGTGCCTTGGGTCCTGCACTTCAGGCTGCCTTTAAGCTGTTGTCCCCAACTGGTGGTCGAATGTCTGTCTTTCAAACACAACTCCCAACTCTTGGTGTGGGAGCTCTTAAACCAAGAGAGGAACCCAACCACAGGTCATCTGCTAAGGTTTGAAAATCATCAAGTTTATGATACGATTTATACTGGAGCTCTTGGTCCCTTTGGTCACAGAACCTTTTTTGTTTGTTTTAATGTATTTTTCTGTTGTGGGGAGGAGGGTTATAAGGAAATGGGTAAAGGGTTTCACTCATCTGTAGACATACTTACTTTATTACAATTTCCTCTACCTGATGCACCCAATGCCTTATTTCTAATATCTTTATCAGGCTGTTATAATCCAACCTGACTTTGATGAGAAAGTCTGGGAAACTAAGGAAATATACCTGCTAGGAACAAGGTGGAACCTGGATGACCAGTTAGCAGTGGCCAAGATTTGCTAGACTGGCAATTGCTTTTGAGCAACTTACTTGAGACATACATTTCCCAAAAGATGAGAGAGAAGCCAGTATCTTATCCTGTTAATGAGGACACTTCTAGAGACTATGTGATGTTCTACTGCTTATTAGATGTGGACACTTGAATAAACTCTGTTTCCATATGAAGTAGAAATATGAGAGCACCCACCTCATAAGGTAGTTGAAGGGACTAAATAGATGTTATCTGTAGTTTACCAGCATACTGAGCATTTGATAGATTTTAGTTACAATAATAATCTTTGCCTATTACAAAATATAATTAGTGATATTTATTTTTGACAGTAAGAAACCCTCATAGAAAATCCTTTTCTTTGTCTGTTTTTCTTTTCTTTTTAAAAACTTTTTTCAGTGCTGTTGAGGATAAAACTCAAAGCCTTTTTCATGCTAGGTAATGTTGCTACATCCCTAGCCCTAAAAAGTTCATAGAAAATTCTTAAGCAGCACATTTAAAAAAAATTTTTTTTTTTTTTACTATTGTACTGAGGGTATATTGTGACATTTTCAACAGTTCTTACAATATAACATGGTTACTATCATTTGCCTTTATCTCCCTCCCCCCATTCCTGGATTAGTTTCAGCAGGTCTCGGTTTTCATTCTTAAGCAACACATGCATCTTCTTTTTTGGTCTGTTAAGACCGTGTCTCATCAGGTAGCTCAGGCTGGACTCAAACTTGCTGTCCTCCTTCCTCAGCTGGGCCTACAGGCTTGTGCCACCATATCTGGCCAGTACTACTTCTTAATGAAAAGTCAAATAGTATAAAAATGCAAAAGAATTGAGTAATATGCCCCAGAGATAATTGTTATTAACATACGTAGGCCTGAGTGTGTTTGTTGAGTTATAGAATGCCTACCCAACAAGGGTGAACCCTGAGTGTAAACCCCAGTACTACAAAAAAAAAAAACCCAAAGAAACATGTTGAGGTGAGTCAAGGATATTGTAATTGTTATACACATCTGTGGATGTGTATTTACATTTCTGATAATAATTTAAAAAATTTCTCTTTGTTATTTATTTATTCACAGGAAATACACCTGACTCCATCCACTGACTTCTATAAGAAATTAGCCTTGGACTGTTCTGGTCAGCAGGTAGCTGTTGACTTATTCCTTCTCAGTGGACAGTATTCTGATTTGGCTTCTCTGGGTAAGTTCTTCATGATTGTTTTCTTCAGTGAAGGGTGAAATGACATATGACGTTATTGTAAGTAGGAGGCAATGTAAAAGCATTTATTCCCTTGAGAGACTTAATCAGTCAGGTTTTGTTTTATGAAATGGAGTCTAGCTATGTTGCCCAGGCTGGTCTCAAATTCTTGGACTCAAGTACCAGTATCCCCCACCCCCAAGCCTTCTAAGCAGCTGTGGGCTATAGGTGCACCATCTCCTCCTGCTGATCAGTTTAATCTATTGTAAACTTATAGTGGGCTACGCTAATTTAGTAGGAGTGAGATAGAGAAGTTTCCATACCACTACATAAAGGATTATATTTTTTTTGACAGAGAAAAGCTGGGTAAAATGGCTGCAGTTACTTTCATATAGTAATAGCATTATTTAATAGGAGTTCATGAGGGAGCATTTGGGGTTGGGAACTGACAGAAGCCTGGAGGGTGAAAGGAGAGGGTGAGGAGGGTGAATATGATGAAAGCATTTCATACCCAAGCATGAAAATGGAATAATCAGGCCTGTTAAAAATTGTTTAAAAACAGAGGGAGGAAGATAAGAAAGAGAAATAGTGGGGTTGAATCTGATCAAAGTACATTATATCTGTGTATGGAAATATAACAAAACCCCTTTGTGTAATTAATATACACTAGTAAAAAAAAAAAGAAAATGAAATTAAAAGGGCTGATGTTAGTACTCTAAGTAAGGCAGATCTCAGCTGGTGAGACAGTGCTCTGTGTTTATAAACTCATAATAAGCGCCACAGCAGCTAGCACAAGGCAGTATATAAAGACATACAGAAATGCATAGAGAAGTAATGTTTTTAAAAAAGAACTGTGTGCTTGGAGGCTGAGACAGGAGGATCACAAGTTCGAGGCTAGCCTGAGCTTTGAAGTGAGACACTGTCTCAAAAACAGAATGTTGAAAATTTAAAAATATGTACATTTATATACATATTTATGTATATGTGTATATGTATTTATGTGTATATATGTATATATATATATATTTATCAGTAGTGTGTTGTCTTCTAGGTTGTATTTCTCGGTACTCAGCAGGTAGTGTATATTACTATCCATCTTACCATCATCAGCACAATCCGGTCCAAGTACAGAAATTACAGAAGGAATTACAGAGATACCTCACTCGGAAGATTGGCTTTGAGGCAGTTATGAGGATTCGGTGCACTAAAGGTGGGAACACTTTTTTTTTTTCCTACATAGAAGTAAATATTTTTTTATACCAATAAATGTACATGTTTTCACCTAGCTAAATCTTCAAGGATATACTCTGTTAGGATACTTTGCTGACTTTATAAGATGAAATTATACAATATGCATTTAAGAAGCGAGAAGAAACCCTATTAAAAAATAGACTGGCTGCAGTTCTGGTTCAAGTGATAACACCTGCCTAGTAAGCACAAGGCCTTGAGTTCAAACCCCAGTACTGGGGAAGAAATTGGAGACTATTGTGACTATATTAAAAAATACTTTAAAATGGTGAATTTTATAGTATGTGAAATATCTCAGTTTTTTAAAACGAGAGACCATGGCTGCAAGGAAAATAAAATTATGTTACTGATGAATTATTTATTGGACTTACTGAACAATTACAATAGTAGTGGAAGATCTTTCTTCTCTTTTGATAGGAGGTGATGGCATGCTGCCCAGGCTGGTCTTGAATGTGCCTCACCCTCCTGAGTAGCTGGGACTGTAGGTGCATACCTCCATGGCTGACTTTAAAAACATTTTTTGTGTTTGACTCAAGACCTTGTGCTTGCCAGGTAATCGCTCTACCACCTGAGCCATGCCTCTAACCCTTTTTTGTTTTAATTAAATAATTTTTTAAAAATCATGATAGAATGTTCATAAAATTGGTCATTTCAATCTTCTAAACATTTTCTTTCTTTTTCTTTTTTCTTTTTTTTTTTTGAGGTAGAGTCTCACTACGTAGCTCAGGCTAGCCGCAAACTTGATTCTGCTGTCTCATCCTTCTGAATGCCTTTTTAAACAAATTTTTTTTGCCATGTTGGTCATGGAACCCATGCCTCACACATGGTAGGCAAGCACTCCTGCCACTTGGCTACAAGCCCTACCCTCTAATTTTTTTTTGCCTTTGGCTGTAGTAGAATTTAAACTCAGGGCCTTGAGCTTGCTAGGCAGGCACTCTACTACATGAGCCATGCCTCCAGCCCTCCTAACCATTTTAATTGGATATAGCTCAGTGGCGTTCTCACTATTATATCCATCTCTAGAAGGAGGAAATCTTTGAATTTGTGGTCTACTTGGTTTTTCAGGACATTATCAACCTGGTTCAAATTTTTTATTCATGTGGGAATGTTTTTGATCCTTAATGGGTGTGAGGCAATCTTTTTTTTTTGGGGCAGGGGGACTTGGGGTTTGAACTCAGAGAGTTCCCTGCTTATAAAGCAGGCACTCTAATACTTGAACCACTGTTCCAGTCCATTTTGCTCTAGTTATATTGGATATGGGATCTCATACACTATTTGCCAAGGTTGGTCTCAAGCCTCAATCCTCCTATTTCAAGCCTCCCAGTTAGCTAAGGATTACAGGCATGAACTACCGATAGCCAGCTAAGGCAATCATTGTTAAGGCGGAAAAATTACATGAAACCTACAGAAAAAAAGATAAGGATCCATTAATGTATCCAATGTATTTTTAAATCCGTCAGTCAAGCTATTTGCCTAGGCACTGATGGCCTGTAATCCTACCTACTCAGTCGGCAGACATCAGGAGGATCATGGCTGGAAGCCAGTTCTCAAGTCCCTGTCTCCAAAATACCCAACACGAAAACGGGCTGGAGGAGTGGCTCAAGTGGTAGAGCACTGCCCAGCAAGCATGAGGCCCTGGGTTCAAGCCCCAGTACTGCAAAAAAAAAAAAAAAAAAGGTTTTTGCCTATATAATGTTTGTTCTCTATTACCTCTCACTATAATAATGTGACCTCACTGAATTCATTTAGAGGGGTGGTACTGGAAATTAAATCCAGGCCTCATAGACACTTAAGCGTGTACTGACCACCAAACTATACACCAAGCCCCACCGTGTTTGTTTTAAAGGGCACGTTTGTGGGATCCAATTCATTCATTCAAGATTGGCAGACTTTAAAAATGTTCATTACTGCAGATGTTAGCTGTTAATTAGGGGGAAATGTATATCCTAAATGTGCTTAAGACACTTTCTACTTGATGAATCAGAGGTTATTTATAATATCTTACTTTTCATAAAGAGCCTGGGCTGAGGGCATGGCTCAAGTACCTGCCTAACTAGTGCAAGTCCCTGCGTTCAAATCCCAGTACTTCCCCCACACACCCAAAAACAAGAGTTGGAAGAGCCTGGGAAAATGCCAACAAATTAACTTGGTGCTTCTCTGTAGCGTGCATGACTTAACAAAACTGTGTGGTTAACTTGCTTAGCTTTTTCTTCATTTATGATAAATCTCATTAGAAGTCAAATACTTGATAAAGTTGATAGGATCGGTAGGTAGAGAGAGAGTGTGTGTGTTTGTGTGTGCGTGTGTGTGTGGTACAGGCAGGTTGTGGTACAGCAGTGTGGTAGATGGCATGTTTAGCATGTCTGAGGCCCTGGGTTCAATCCCCAGCACCACAGGGGAAAAAAGATGAAGTATTAAAACATACAAAAAGAGAAATCAAACATAGTCCACTATGTCCCATTCTGTGGCTTGTTACATTCCTTTTAAAAGTTTTCCCATGCATACATAAGAATATGTTTAGTCTTAATTTCAAGTCAAAAAGGTGGATCTCACAATAACATTTTTTGTTGAGGGGGGGACATAAAGCACTATAATTTCACAGAGGAATAAATTCAAATTAATGAAAATGCATAAGAGGACATGAGGACTTCTGTTTAACATATGAGAACGATCAACCTGCCAAACACCAGGAAAGGAATATTAAAACCAGGACAGGGCACAAAGCAGATGTTAAAACCTCCCACTATGCTAGGTGTGGGTAAGGGTGGGAATGGCCCCTTAAAGCCTGTAGGCATCAGCTACTGAAGGAACCCCCTAGAAATGCTTTCCCCAGCTGGGGGTTTGGCCCAGTTACCACTGAGCTTGCTTTGCATGCATATGACCCTGCGTTCCTTCCCAAAAAGAAAATGAAAAAACAAGTCTGTTAGAAATGCTCTCATGCAACATTAGGAATACTGTCTAGTAGGTTTAGGGAGATGGTATTTTCACAGATCAGAAAGTACCCACCAGAATCTGTCCCCAAGGAACCTGTAGGAGCCACAGGCACAGGCCTCCCTCTCCCCTCCAAATACTCAGAATCACCCTGGGCCATATCTGCCCTCAGTCTTCCATGCTACCTTCCTTTTCCTACCCAGGTGCCGATGTAGAGACAGAGTCTCTAGAAGGCCTCTAGGGCTGAGGGGAGCTCCCTGGGGCCTGACAAAGTGGCTCAAGTTGTATAGCACCTACCTAATGAGTATGAAGCTCTGAGTACAAACCCCTGTACCACCAAAACAAATATTAATATGTAGAGCTAAATTGTCCTCCCGGAAAGTGTTTTGAAGGTTTGTATCCTCGCCTTCATTTAAGAAGATACCTATCCTCTCAACTTTAGTAAGTACTCTATTATCTACCTATTTTTACTATCTTATATGTGACTAGGATAAAGTATAAATATTCAGAGGCAGACATATAAAGTCATTTTTAAATTTCTTTTCTCCTAGGTCTCGCCATTCACACTTTCCATGGGAACTTCTTTGTCCGCTCCACAGACTTACTGTCTCTGCCCAATGTCAACCCGGATGCTGGGTATGCAGTGCAGATGTCAGTGGAAGAGAGTCTTACTGACACACAATTGGTTTCTTTTCAGTCAGCACTCTTGTATACATCAAGTAAAGGTAAGTTTTTGTTTGCTTTTATTGTCATAAAAACCACAACATGTGAGTATACAGTACAGCAGTGTTAACTTTTAGAACAATATTGTAGTAAAGGTAAGTTTGTTCATGTGAAATGTCTTGTATGGCCTCTGAGAAACTCTCTTTGGAGTAGTTCGTAATTTCCATTAAGCCAAAAGAGTGTTCTGATCATAAGAGCTTTGTTGCTTTTCTCTCGGTAATGCCGTAGTGTTTTTATTTTCCTAGATCATTTTATTTGCAGATTTTAAACTTTTTTTGCTTTTTATTTTTGTTTTTGGAGACTGGGTTGCTGTATAGCCCAGGCTGGCCTTGAACTCAAGTTCTTCCTGACTCAGCCTCCCAAGTCCTGGCATTATACACCTGGGCCACCACACTGGGTCACAAATACTCATGCAGACACTCTGAGAAGCACTTTAAAAATATCTTTATTGAGCTGGGTTCTGGCCTGTATTCCAGTGCTGGGCAGCCTTAGGCAGAAAGGAGAATCAATTGACCCTGGGAGTTCTAGACCAGCCTGGGCAACATAACACCACCCTGTCTCAAAAAAAAAAAAAAATTGTAGGCCTTAATTTAATAGGTGAGTGAGATAGTAAATAGGATAAATAAGTAATATAATAGTTAAAGAGAATGGTAGAGCAGGTAAAGAATATAGAAAGTACTCGGGTTGCTATTTTAAGAAAGAGTAGCCAGGGAAAGTCCTCACCAAGGGGATATTTGAGGTAAGTTTTGAGAGGGCTTGTGCTGCAGACAGACAGCACTTTTTTAAGGGTAGGACTTAGTCATTCCTAATCAACATAAAATTTGTGTCTTATCCTCAGGTGATGTGAAGGCATTTTCAATTTACTTTTCTTTCTTTTTTTTTTTTTTTTTGTGTGTGTGTGTGCTACTGGGGTTTGAATTCAGGGCCTCATGCTTGCTATGCAGGCACGCTACCACTTTAGCCACTCTGCCAGCCTTTTTTTTGTGTTGAGTATTTTTGAGATAGGATGCCTTTTTTCATTTTCCCTGGGCTGATCTTGAACTAAGATCCTCTTGATCTCTGTCTCTCAAGTAGCTAGGATGACAGGCATGAGCTGCCAGTGGCACCCTGCCTTAGGACATTTTTAATAAAAAATCTTTAGTATTAAGAAAGTTCAGCTGAGCAAATAATTCCTGAGACCCTATCTTGAAAAAAAAAATCATAAAAATAGGAGTGGTTCAAGGTATAGGCCCTGATTTCAAATTCTAGCACCATTTAAAAAAAAAAAAAAGAAAGTTCAGTTTTTATATAAATATAGCACACTATAAATGTTAATGTAAAATTGATTTTTGAGCTGGCGGTGATGGCATATACCTGCTTGAAATTCCAGCAACGTTAGTGAGATCCTATGTCAAAAATAAAAACAAAAAGATAGGGGCACAGCTTATGAGGTAGAGCCCTTCAGGTACTGGGTTAAACACACACACACACACACACACACAGAGAGAGAGAAAACCAATTAATTTCTATCTGTAGACATCTTTTTTTTGTTGTTGTTTTTTATTGGCAGTACTGGGGTTTGAATTCAGAGCTTCACACTTGCTAGGCAGGCACTCTACTGCTTGAGCTACTCCACCAGCCCTTTTCTGTGTTGGGTATTTTTTAGATAGGGTCTCTTGAACCATTTGCCTAGGATTGGCTTTGAACCTTAATCCTCCTGATCTTAGCCTCCTGAGTAGCTATCAGTGCTCTGCTAGACATCATGTTTTATTTGACAAAACAAAACAAGGCTGGGCACTAGAAGAGTTTTCAATTTTGGATTTTCTTCAAATCATTGAATAATTACATGTACATCATGAGATATCTTGGATGGGATCAGGTTTCAACATAGAGTCCACTTATGTTTCCTATATACCTTATAGACATAGCCGAAAGGTCATTTTATACAATATTTTTAGTGGGCCTTCATTTTGACAGCTACCTTACCCTCACGTTTAAGGTGTAGGCTTTTCCACTTGTGGCATCATATTGGTGGTCCAAAGTTTTCAGGGTTTGGAGCATTTCAGATTTTGGATATTGGGACTTTTGAGTCTGGCTTCCTTTACTTAGCATAGTTGTATTTGAGATGTATCCACATGCTGCATCATTAGTGGTTTGTTCCTTTTTATTCCTGAGTACTTTCCTGCTGTGCCCAGTTTATTCACATCCCATGTTAAATGCATAAGGTCCTGAGTTCAATCCCCACCAGAGAGAGAGAGAGAGAGAGAGAGAGAGATGGATGGATAGATATTTGATTATTCCAAAGGTTTTCATTTTATTTCTTTGATGTATTGATAGTTGTTGTTGTAGGTAATTACCAAAGAAAAGGCACTGTGAATATTAATCAATTTCATTTTATTTTTTTCTTTGTATTTAAAAAGGGTAAAATTAGAGCTAGGGGCATGGTTCAACTGGTAGAGTTCCTGCATAGCAAGTGTGAGGCCCTGAGTTCAAATTCTAGTACTGCAAATAAATCAATAAAATAAAAGTTTTTTGAACTTTAAATCAGGCTGTAAAGCACACTAGCATATTGGCAGGTATGGTGGCAGATATCTGTAATTCCAACACTCAGGTGGCTGGACCAGCCTGGGCTACATAGTGTCCTTGTCTCAAAAAAGAAAGAAAGGAAAGAAGGAGGGGCCAGGGAGAGAGAGACGAAGGGAGGGACTGAGACAGAGAAGAAAGAAAATGCTAGCATATTATCATCATTTAAATATAATGCCTGTTACCTATTTAGTAATAGCTTGAATAAAAAGAATTTTATAGTAAAAAATAATAATTAAAAAAAACTTTAGTGTTGTCACAGACTAGTGTTTTGATACCATCTCTGCTTCCTGTGTGACCCTACTTGGTTCTGTATTGAAAAGACCTGACTTTAGCATAATCTTTTCTGAATGTAGCTGTCCTTACTATCATGTATTTTCCCCAAAGGTGAAAGAAGAATACGTGTCCATACTTTGTGTTTGCCAGTAGTTTCAACTCTGAATGAAGTCTTTCTGGGAGCTGATGTTCAAGCAATTTCAGGGTTATTGGCCAATATGGGTAAGAGTGGATATCACTTGTAAATATTTTCCAAGTAAAACCATTAGGCAAATCCACCTATTTTGTTTTCTTGTAAATGATTATCTTTATAGGTTTCAATTTGGGTGCTTATAGCTATGTTAACGAAAAGATCTGCCACAGATAATCCTTTTTGCTTGTTTAAACAGTTGTATTGAGATAGAATTATGTACCATAGGACTGCACCATTTTAATTGTACCATTCGTTGTTTTTAGTCTGTCTACAGAGTTTTGCAGCCATCATCGCAATCTGATTTTAAAACATTTTTGTCACCCCAAATGAATCTGATGCCCATAAGCAATTAGTGCCACTCCTGCCTCCTTCCCACACTGGCCTTATCCCCACTAAACTGATTTCTGTCTCTCTGTATTCTTCTGCTTTGGACTTAAATAACCATATATTATCAACAGTTAATGTTGGTACTTAGTAGGATTGTTTATAACAGTGCTTTATGAGCACAGTAACTTGTGTAGTAAGAGGTGGCAGGTCACTATAAAGATCGTTAGACTTGCAGTCATGGAATTTGAGATTAAAAACCAGTTTACTACCACACACATGTTCACAGCCTTCCCAAATCTTGTGTGCTAGGAGAAAACTTATTGGGTTCTTTACCTATTTATTTCAATCTCTTATCTAGTTGCTGTCTTGATCCTCTTGTCCTGTTTTCAAATGTAAAGTTTAGCATCAGTTTGATTCTTACCCCCTTTCTGCCTCAGGGAAGACTTTCACAAAGTCTGTTTGTCTAATCTGCCTTTAACAGAACTAGGTACCTGTTTTCTGAGTTTCCTATAGGGAAAATTTTCTTTCATGAAGCCTGTTTAGTCTTTTTTTTGGTGGGATTGGGGTTTGAATTTAGGATTTCATGCTTGCAGAGCAGGAGCTCTACTGCTTGAGCCATACCTCCAGTCCATTTTTCTCTGGTTAATTTGGAGATGGGCTCTTATGAAGTATTTGACTGGGCTTTCCTCTCTTGATCATCCTAATCTCAGCTTCCCAAGTCACTAATATTACGGGTATGAGCCACCAGTGCCTGGCACTTTAGTCTGATATGTTGTTGAAAACTTGAAAGTTGAGGCTGTGTGTGGTGCTACACATCTGTAATCCCAGCACTCAGGAGACTGAGGCAGGAGGATCATAAGTTTGAGGAGCCTGGGCTACATAGCATGACTGTCTCCCGAATCCAATAAAAAAGGTTCAATGGTAGAATGCTTGCCTAAAATGCTGAGTTTCATCATCAAAAAGAAGCAGCAGTAGCAGCAAAAGAAAAATAATTTGAAGATCATGGCCTAAGAAATTTGAGGGTCACACTTTTTTTTTTTTTTTAAGTAATATGTTTGAGCCAGACATGGTGGAACACCTGCAATCTCAGACACTTAGGAGGTAGAGGAAGGAAGATGTCAAGTTCAAGGCCAGCCCAGGAAAGACCCTATTTTAAAAACAAACAAAGAAGGTGGGGAGGGGGGGCTGTGGGTGTAGCTCAAGTGAAGTCCTGGGTTCAATTCCCAGTACCAAAAAAATGTAATATTTTTGATGACTGTACAATCCTTATTGTCAACATTATTAACATCAAAGAAATAACTTTTAGGCAGTATTTATAGATTTTAAAAACTTCAGTATAGCTTTGTAGGTATGGATCCTTTTACCATATTTGGTTGAGACAAAATACGCACATTTTTATATTCTGTCATCATTAGGATCAGAACATGTCTTCAACTGATGAAGCCTTAGGGTTGCTGTGGACCAGTAGCAATAGTCCTCATTCTTCCCTCTATGAGCAAATTTAGGTCACAGCAGTAAATGACATCCCTTCATTTCATACCACATGAATTGAGTAGGTTGCTGGTTGACAAGTCTTCAAAACAGTTATTCTGTTTTTAGTATTGAAATTTTTTTGACTATGCAGAAATACATATAAACAGAGTGGGGTAACAGGTAAAAATCTGCCTCAGTAACTCTGTTATGTCCTGAACTATAAAATAAATTAAAAAATCTGTGTGAAAGTAAAATTTTGAATTGAATTCCAGGGTGTTTTTAAAAAAAATTTCTCAGTGAGCCAGGTGCTGGTGGCTCATGCCTGTATCCTAGCTACTCAGGAGGCTCTTAGAGATCCAGAGGATCGTGGTTCAAAACCAGCTGGGGCAAAAAGTCTGTGAGACCCTATCTCGACAAACTCATGAAAAAAAATTCTTAGTGGCATACAAAATAACATGGTAGACAAAGTGTTATTCCACCATAGAATGTAGTTTTCCTATTTGTGAAGTAAGGGAACTGAGGATGGGGAGGTTAAGTCACTTTCCAAATTGTCACATAGCTGGGAAATGGCAGAATGGCATTTGAACAGAGGTTAGTTGGATTCTCTAGAGCATGCTTTTACGTGCTGTGTGTTTTCACTCATTGTGTGTGGAGTAGATTGGAAAGAGACTTGATACAGTTTTTAAAATTATTTCTCTTATCCTTACCAGTGGAGTTGCTAAGCTGCCTTGTGTCTGTTTTGTCCCACCCTCACCTCCATTAGCTGTGGACAGGTCTGTGACTGCCAGTCTGAGTGACGCCCGGGATGCTCTAGTGAATGCCCTCATCGACTCTCTGGCAGCTTACCGCTCTTCAGTCCTCAGTAACCAGCAACCTGGGCTCATGGTCCCTTTCTCTTTGCGGCTTTTCCCACTTTTTGTGTTGGCTCTCCTTAAACAGGTAAGAAAACAGAAGCAGAAAGCAGCATAGTGAAAACGTCAAAAGCCCAAACTTTCACCCTGTGATTCCCTAAACATTGCTTCTGTGTCTCTATGCCAGTTGAACGTTGTGAGGACAGGGACCTTACCTCTTCTTTGAACCTTGAGGGGTTTATAACCAAAGAAAGTTACAAGTAACTGATTTTGCAAGTGCCCTGTGCATGAGAGATGTTTGCAGCCACTCAAATGATAGTTTTCCAAAAGAAGAATTATATATTGTGATGCTGCCACAAAAAGCCACCATATACTGCATTTTCTCACTTATAAGTAGAAGTTTCAAAAGTGAACACATAGAAGCAGAGCACAGAATGGTGATTGAGAATAGAGAGACTGGTGGAGGGTGAATGGGGAGATACTGGACAAGGGTACAGTGTCAGTTACACAGCAGAAATAAATGAGCATTTGAGGTGATGGATTGTCTTATTAGCTCAATTCAGTCATTCCACATTGTATACTATATCATATCACTTTGTGCCCTATAAATATATTCATTTATAATTTGTTACCAATTGAAAAAATTAATTTTTTTCAGAAGTAAGTGCACACATGCATCTGTTTTGTTTTGGCTCTTTCCTGGTCCCTACATTATTTCAGCACCATTATAGTTCTCAGGTTTTTTGTTTTGTTTTGTTTTTTCCAGTGCTGGTGTTTGAAGCCAGAGTCTTAGGCATGGTTGGATGTTGGCAATCACTCTATCACTGAGTTGCCGCCCAGCCCACACTTCTTATTCTTTGGATAAGTCTTCTCATATTCGTGTACCTATTTTCAGGGTTTGGATTGCACTTCCATAGCCTTGTCTTTGAGATCAAATGCTACCTCTCTGGCACACCTTTCCTTTTGTGGTCCTATAGCTCTTTGTGAATAGCTTTGTCTCTAGGGTTTTTCATTTGATTCTTTTGTTTTGAGACAAGGTCTCCCTATGTAGGCCAGGCTGGCCTTGAACTCCCAGTCCTCCTGCCTCAGCTTCCTAAGCTCTGGGATCACAGTCATGGGCCATTATGCTCTTGGCTTTTCATATTTATTATTTATATGTTTCCCTAACTGCCCTGTGTCTCTACCTCACCTCCCCAAAAAGAGAGAGAACTCTGGGATCGGTGAATAGGCTTATTTCTCCAGTGTCTAGAATTTAATGTCCAAGCTTACAAATTTCAAGTAACCTCGTAACATTTTATCTAAAAGCTCTTGATAGTAATGCTTTTTATGACAGGCTCTAATGAGGGTTGCTCTGGATCTTGTCAATTTCTGTGTTTTTCTGAACTCCTGTGATCTGCCTGTCTAGTGTCTGCAGTCTCTTCTCAATGCTGTGGGCAACCTTCTCTTCCCTCATAGGAAAGGCTTTTGAACCCACATTCTAGTTTCTTGAACTCAAGATACGTATTTTCATTTCTGCATATAAGTGCACAGGAGTTACAAATATGAGGTCTTCCCTCTCCAGGGTTTTTTTGTTGTTGTTGTTTTGTATTTTTTGTCACATCTGTCTTCCTCTCAGGTTTCTTGTCTTGATTTCCATTTAACATGCCCCACTTCATCCTTCCCCTCCCTATAACACCCTGACACCGCTGGCTCTTCCATCCTAGGTTTTTTCTAAAGCACATATTACTGATCAGGTATTTTTCTTATTTATTTAATTGCCTTGTATAGGATGTAATCTGGCATAACTATAGAGCTTTTATGTTTTTCATTCACTACTTTGTTCCAGTACCTAAATAGTTATTAATACATAACAGACACTTATGGGGTGTGTCTCAAGTGGTAGAGTGCAAGGGCTGAGTTCAAACCTCAGTACTGCCAAAAGAAACAAATCAAACAGAATAGACACATTAAATATTTTAATGGGTGCATGGAGCTCTGCTTCTTTCATTTTCCATAGTACTTGTCCCCTTCTTAGTGACTGACCATGTATTAATTTCAAGGATCTTATGGACCTTTTCTTTTTTCATTCAATGAATGACACTTGTTGAAGCACAGTAGGAGAGATTACATTCAATTCTGAATGCATCATGGGCAATTGGGAATTTTAGAAGGAGCGGAGTGGGGTTGATGGATAGAAAATTATTAAGAGGTACCATCAAGATTACCTGGGCTTGTTGGCACACCCCTGTGATCCCAGCATTCCTGCTACTGAGGCAGGAGGATCATGAGTTCAAGGCTAGTGTTTGCTGCCTATTGAAACACTGCCTCAAATTAGCTGAGAAAAAAAAAGAGTAAAGGGGATTCTTGCTAACAAGATTCTTATGAAACTAATCCAGGGTAATGAGACATCAGTTGGGGGATGGCGGAGAATGATGAAACTGATTAGTTGTAGAGGGTGATCAGATATTGAGGGTGGAGGATTTTTATTAAACTGACTCAGTAGGGTTCTTGCTAAAACTGGATTTTATAGGAAAAGGAACAGATCCGTACAGGAGAAAGTTTAGTTGGTCAGGGCCAGGGCATGATTGTGCATGCCTATAGTCAAAGGCAGAAGCAGAGATCAAGAAGATTGAGTTTTGAGGCTTGATGGGGAACCAATAAGCCAGGCATGGTGCACACCTGTGATCCGAGGTATGCATGAGGCATAGTTAGGAGGATTGTTGTCAAGGCCAGCTGGGGCAAAATAGTGCAACAGTCCCATCTAAAACAGAAAGGGACTGGTGGTATAGCTCAAGTGGTAGATTACCTGTTTATCAAGTGCAAGACCCTGAGTTCAAACCCCAGTACTAACAAGGAAGGAAGAATAGGGTGGGAGCGAGGGAGGGAAGGAAGAAAGGAAACAAAAGGAAGGAAGAAAAGGAAGGAGGAAAGAAAGAAAGGAAGAAAGTTAGGCAGAGAGTGTGTAACAGGACACAGGAAGTTCAGTGCCCAGGCCCTGTCCCCACAGCACTGATGCTCTGCAGCCCTGGGAAGTAGGCGGCTGCACAAATGCAAGTGCTTGTGGGCATCAGAAGCCCAGCTGGTTCTGAGGACAGTGACCCAGCAAGGGCACCGCCAGGACACGTGAAGGTGTGTCAGTATGACACATGAGCAGTGCTCTCTTGTCCCTCACAAATATGCTTCCTCCAGGGCTTTCTCATCCTCTTTGATTTAGCCATTGCACTTGCTTTAGTGCCTGTCTCATTCCTGTTCTTTCTGCCTCCTTTACCCCTTTCCGTCCACTGGAATACTTGAAACTTTACCAAGAAACTTCATCATTCTCTGTGAAATTAATATACTAGTTAAATGTCAATCTTACTTATGAACTTTCTTCTACTTAGTCATTTGTATTAATACTTTTCATCATTGATTTGCAAGCTTTGGTATATTGATTAGTTTCTCTAAGTGTGGGAGAAACAGAGACAGCTACCACTCATTATCATGCAGCATTGATAAAACACTTAGTGGATACCACAGCCCTTCATATGTGCCTTTATCATCTGCTATGTACTGACATCCTTCCTGTGATGCTGCTTAGATTGTTGTATCACTGTCACTATATGTCATGGTAGATAGTAGACCTATTTTATGATTAGGAAACATACAATAGGGAGATCAAATACTTTTGCCATGGTCAGTTTATTTCTGCAGACTTTTAGGTGAGGCTGTAGTCACAATGTAATACATGTGTATGACTTCTTAGAATATTTTTTGAAACAGTAATTCACAGTAAATTTGGTAATTCTCTCTGACATTTACAAAGTTCTGTATTTTTAAGTGTCTTCTTTTGGTGGGCATGGGGTTTGTTTTTCATTACAGAAATCATTCCAGACTGGGACAAATGTGCGTCTGGATGAACGCATTTTTGCTATGTGTCAAGTGAAAAATCAGCCCTTGGTTCACCTTATGCTCACAACTCATCCCAGTTTGTATAGAGTTGACAATCTCTCAGATGAGGTAAGATTGATTCTGTTTTTTAGTGACTTTTTCTTGAAGGCTTCTAAGCTTAGTAGTCCTCATTCCAGTGCAGAAATGAGAAGAGGTTTGTTTGTTAATCTAGTGCTTTATATTTTATCTCTCTGCTATATGTAGAGAAATGCTGGTTCAGGGAAGCTCCTAAAAACAGTACCTTTATTTAAGTTACCTAAGTCAAGTCTCTAGAACAGATGTAAGAAATAAAGAGAATGTCAAGTTGTCCAGAGCAACCTATTTATTTAAACAAATTGATCTGGAAGATGTATGGTGAGAGTGAAATCACATCTGAGCACCCTAGGTCCATGTTCAATGTAATAGTGTTTTTGAATTTAAAAATATTTATCTGAGTTGTAATACTTTGCTTTTGATAGGAAATTTATTGAAGTCACATTATTGATTATGTATTACCATAAATTAAAGTCTTAAGTATAAAAATGTTGAATCATAATCTTTCTAAAATTGTGATCAGTTAATATGTATACAGATGGGGAGTAATGTTTTAGTTAAAATCTTTCAAAATAAAAAAATATTTAGGATACTTTTTATATTTTCTCTTTGAGAAAATATCTGATAAAAATCACCTAAGGGAAGAAAGATTTATTCCACCTCACAGTTTCAGAGGTATCAGTCCATCATGGTGGAGAAGGTATTGTGGATCAGAGCAGTTAACATCATTGCAGCCAGGAGCAGAGAAAGGAATACAGGAACCAGCCAGGGCAAGATATTCCCTTCAAGGACACGCCCCCAGGGACCTACTTCCTCTTAACCAGGCCTCCCCTACCTCCTACCTTCACCACCCCCCCAGGAATGGCATCAAATTATGAATTCATTTAAGGAGTTAATCCATTCAGTAGTTCAGAGTTCTCATGATCTAATTGTCTCTGTAAACACCATGACCTTCGCCCCCAGAGGTATGCTTTACTAGTCTCCTAGGAGCTTCTCAATCCAGTCAAGTTGACATTTAAGGTATGAAAGGAAGGAATGTTAGCACTCCCCTTGAGGGGACCTCGGGCTGACAACATACATTGCTAACTACTGCATGGCATCTGACTGTGGTTAAAAAATTTAAAAAGTAGACAGTTAAGATTAACCGTCACATAAAGGAGAAATCGGAGGTAATTTTTACAAATGAAAACTCTTAACATTGTTAATTTGTATTACAAAAGTAACTAATCTTAACTGATAAGTTCAATTAACTGAACTTACCTTTCTCTTTTTTTTGGAGACGAGATCTAACTATGCAGCCCATCTAGATCCTTCTCAGGCTCCTGAGTACATGCTAGGATACAGGCCTGTGCCACCATACTTGGCTTAGTCTTATTTTCTTTCTCCCATTAAAACATAGCAGCATTAGAAATTAACATAAAATTTTAAATGCAGTTTATGTCTCTAATATGGGAAATATGGGAACCTCAGAAAGAAAAAAGGAAGGCTAAGGCAGTAGACCGCCCGCTTAGCAAGTATGAAGCCCTGAGTTCAGTACCATGGAGAGAGAGAGAGAGAGAAAGTAAAGGACTCATAATACTTTCTAACATAAACAGTATTAACACATCAGTGATGAGTTTATCAGGACACATTGACTCTCAAGAAGTTTAGGCAAGAAAGGGAAAAGATAGCTCTTAGAAACAAACCACAAAGGGGTGGGGAGGGAGGAGCTGTGTAGCTCAGTGGCAGAGCCCTTGTGCTTGAGGTCCTTAGCATGATCCCCATCACTGTCAAAAATATAAATTTAAAAGATCACAAGGAAATAAACCACAGGAGCAACTAGGGGGTACTGAGAACCTAGTAGATTCTCCATCAGTTTCCTTCTTTCTGATCAGCTTTTCTCTTAAAACTAAAAACAGCCAGTGCTATCTTGCCTTTCTCACTCTCTGAGATGGATGAAGCTCTTTTTCAGTTCACATTGAAAACCTCTGACGAAATTCCTCATCAGCCGTATTTGGGTTGTTGTTTCTTCTGCTCCCCATGGTCCCAAGGTCAGAAGTTTTAAGCACTGTGTATAATAACCCCTGACTCATCACAGAAGTGAAAAAAATCATGTCCCCCAAACAATAGGAAGCTGGGTGCTGAAAACTCCAAGCAGTAACTGACTTTGGTAGCTCTACTTTCCTCTTGCCCTGAATTTTGTTCTCTATAGTTTTCAGATTCTGAGGTTTTTGTAGTTTTGAACATGAAATGAATTAACACATGTAAAACTCTTAGGACAGTGCCTGGATACAATAGACACGATGTAAGCCATACACAGCTATTGCCATCACCGTCATTAGCATCATCAGTATTGTGATCATTATCATAATTAAACATATTTAGGAGCTGAAGGTGTAGCTAGCTCAGTGGTGGAGTGCTTACCTCGCATGCATAGGGCCCTGGATTTCACCCTTAGCACTTGTGTGTGGTGGGGGGTTATTTCCATGTGTGTAAGCATTCACTCATTTGAAGTATACATTTTCATGACACTGTTTCCAGTTTTAACCATCACTATGAATAAGATTGATTTACATAGGTTAAGTAGTTAAATATACTTTTGGTTAAAATGGATAAGTATGAATATTGAAAGGCTTGTTTATGTGTTTGTAGATAACAGCATTACAGTCAATTATAAATGAGAAACTTGCATTTCTATCTTTGATAAATGTGAAGTTGAAGAGCACTATTAAATTTCATTTGCATTTGGCTGCTTTTGCTCCTCTCAGGATGTATACATGGCCCAAGTCAAGCAACCAGGTCCAGTGGAGCCAATGGGTAGAATTCTGCTTAACATCTGAAAGAGATTCTCATTTCTCCCTCTCCCTCCTTTCCTCCCCCTCATTTGGAATTTTAGATTTAAAGATCAGTTACAAATATAGTACAGAAAGTTCTCGCAGACCTCTCACCCATTTTACCCTAATGAGTACGATGGTCCACATGTGTCATCCCATCTACTTGGGAAGCTGAGGCAAGAGGATCACCTGAGCCCCCAAGTTTGAGACCAGTCTAGGCAAAATAGAGAAACCTTCCCCCCCGTAAAAAAAATTTTAAAGTGTTTTGAGGTGGACATCGTGACTGAGGCAGGAGATGGTGAGGTTAAGGCCATCCTGGATTATATAGTGAGGCCTCATGTCAAAATAAAATTACAAAACCATAATACTTTTGTAAAATCTGGTGTACTCAAATTGATTGCTATACTATTATTAACTAAATTCCAGATGTTATTTGGACTTCACTAATATCATTTGTTCACCATATTACATTATATGTATTGCATTTACTTTTGAAAGTTAAGATCAGAAGTTAATTTGGATTTCTTAGAATTTTAGCAGCTTTGTTTTAATTTCATCTTTTTCATGTTATGAATAACTGTGATTGGCCTAAGCGAGTAAGGCCCAAACTCTTGGAGGTAACAGTTCTTTACTTGCTTTTGTTCTTCCCTGTGACTCCTACGTGTGTCTAGCAGCTTTAATCACTTCCTCACTTCCTCAGGGAGCCCTCAGCATCAATGACAGAATCATCCCTCAGCCCCCTGTTCTTCAGCTCTCCGTGGAGAAGCTGAGCAGAGATGGCGCTTTCCTCCTGGATGCAGGCTCTGTGAGTAGTTTGACTCCCTGACCCCCTCACTGTACCACTGTTCCTTTTTAGCATATGGTTTCCTTCCCCATGGTATCTCTCTTCTTGAACAGATTTGTAATGTTTGCTCTACATATATTTGTGTCAGCCATTTTCTCCCATCCCAGCCTTGTTCCATGCCAGGTGTTGTTGTGGCAAATACTAATTGCACAGCCTTCATCGTGGTAAATACTAGTTGTTTTTAGTCCTGTTCTGATCTGTACAATCTTTGTAAATACACACATCCTTCTGACCTTTTAAACTACTCCCAGATGTGTGGTGCCAACACTTACTATGAGGCATCCTCTAAAATAATTTTATTCCTGTTCGCAGGCACTGATGCTTTGGGTTGGGAAAAACTGTGCACAGAGTTTTCTCCACCAAGTGCTAGGAGTTCAAAACTATGCATCAATTCCACAGACTATGGTAAGACTTTTACTTCCTTGATTATAGACTTAAGGGACATGTCAAGTGTGGCAAAAACACAAATATCAATTTTGAAATCAGAAATCAACACTCCAAATTTCTCCCAAAAGGAATGTGCCACAGATGTTGTTCTTCCAAATGAAAAAAACTCATGCTTTGTGTGTGTGTGTGTGTGTGTGTGTTTCCACACTGAATCTTGCTGTGTTATTTAGCCTAAGACTTATGGGCTTAAAGGATCCTCCTGTGTCAGCCTCCCAAGTACCTGGGACACATGCGTTTGCCATATATTTTAATGGCATTCTTTTTTTTCTCCCTTTGTTTTTCTTTGAGACAGCATCATCATATGTAGCCCAGGCTGGCCTGGATCTCACAGTGCTCCTACCTCACCTCCTAACCTAAGAATGGCATCCTTAAGTGGGTACTGGTGACTCATGCCTTTAATTATAGTTACTCAGGAGGCAGTGATCAGGAGGATCATGGTTTACAGCCAGCGTGGGCAAGTAGTTCAAGAGACCCTATTTCAAAAATACCCAACACAAAAGTTCAAGTGGTAGAGTGCCTACTTAGCAAATGTGAGACGTGAGTTAAGGTTCCTCAGTATCGTCAAAAAAAGAATGGCATTCCTCATGTGACTTTGCATTATTAACTTGTCTCTCTTCTTACGTGTTTAAGACAGTGTTCTATTTGGAGGAGAAAGCAATGAATTTAGTTAATGACCCAAAAAAAGAGGTTATGACAAATGATATTTGTGTCATGGGTCTCTCTTTCTCTGTCTCTCTTTCATTTTCTCTTTTATGGTGCTGATGCTATGCCTCACACATTGTAGGCAAGTAGTCTACCATTGAACTATACCCCCAGTCTGGTGGTGTGGCATTTTTCTGTTTTGTTTTGTTTTCTTTTGATAAGTGATTTCTCATTCTTTGGAAAGGCCCCTCCTCTCTTCTTTCCTTCCCTCTTTTCTTTGGGGTGGGGTGGGGGCAGCAAATTGAACCCAGGACCTCTCACTTGCCAGGCAGGTGCTTAGCAAGTTTTTTTTTTTTTAATGACGGGAGTTTGAACTCAGAGGACTTTAAACTTGCAAAGCAGGCTCTTTACAACTTGAGCAATACTTCTAGTCTTTGGCTGTTTTGGAATAAGAACTAAACTACTTGACACCCTGGTTTAACCTCGCAAATGACAGATGGTTACTGTCCATTGGATTAACATTGGTTATTTAAGAAAGGAATAATGGACCTTTGTGTATCACTAGCCATGTGGTCTTGAAGAAGTCACTACAAATAGTCTTGTAAAATAAGAATGGTCTCGCTTATGAAGGAATAGTTAAAATAGTTCATGAGGAATCTATAGCATTTGGATAGTTTTGATTTATAAAGTTAAAATCAATAATAAACAACCTTAGGGGGGTGAGAAGAGAGGGAGGGGGTGGAGGACAGGGGGGAGAAATGGATAAAAAAAGTAAAAAACAATCTTACTTAGTGTTTTTATTTCTTAGTCCCTCTTGCCAGCTTGTATCCACCTTTGGAATATGTGTTTTATTTCATCACTTTTCCATATTGGCAGGTTTTAAGTGATGGGTTCTAGCTCTACATTTATGAAGTCATTAGGGGATTCAGCTATTTAAAAAGACTGATGTGTCAAGATTATACCTTGAATAAGCACTGGCTTCCAGGCCTTGAGAAAAATTACTGGACTGAGTGAGTAGGTATTTTAACTAATGAGAAAATAAAGTGTCATTTTGTTAACAAGCACCAGAATGAATCAGTTCATTCTAAAGGTCATAAAAATGTAGAGAAGAGTTAAGATGTTTTCCTGTTCAAGGAGGCCTGCCACCTATTTTGTAATTTTGTTTTATTGGAACATAGCTGTGCCCATTCACTTATATATCATCTATGGCCATGTTAATGTAATGATGGCAGAGTTGAGTTTTTGCAACAGAGATGAAATGAGTTCCAAGCCTAAAGTATTCACTGTCTGGATCAACAAAACCAGCAGGTGATGGATTCACAAACACAGTAAAATTTGAAGAGTGTTATAGTCCATTTAGTAGACACTTACTTAGAGGTAATTGGATATTGTTGGTTTTGTGTAACAGATAGACCTTCCAGAACTCGATACACCAGAGTCTGCCAGAACAATAGCTTTTATCTCATGGCTTAGAGAGCAGAGACCATTTTTCCCAGTACTTTATGTAATAAGGTAAGTCAAGTTTTTCATGTGTAACACACTTTGTTCGGTCTTGCAAGGACCTGTTTTGAATCAGATATATGCAAACTAATGCTTAAGCAAATTATGTGGATATAGAAAAAAGGAAAAATAATTGTATTTAATAAATAGTACAGAATTGTGCTTTGTAAACAATTATTGGAATTACTAAGCTTTTAAGAAACTTGTTACTAAAAAACTTCACAGTTTCTCCTAATTCCAGTATATACTTGCCCTTAAACAACATAAAGTTTACATAATTAACCAAATCTTCTCAGAGAAAACTTCTAGAAGTAGCCATTTATAAGGTAAATATGATAGTTATTACAGTAGGTCAAAAAATCTGTGACAGATCCACTGTTTTTCTTTTTCTTTCTTTTTTTTTTTTTTGTTTTTGGAGGTATGAGCTTTGTACTCAGGGCTTCACACTTGCACTCTGTTGCTATTTCTTTTACCATTACATTTTACCCAATGTTTATAAATATTTTTGCCTTTCATTCCTAAGGGATGAGAGTCCAATGAAAGCAAACTTCCTTCAAAACATGGTGGAAGACAGAACAGAATCTGCTTTGTCATATTATGAATTCCTCTTGCATATACAGCAGCAAGTGAATAAGTGAAGAAATCGGACTTAGTATTATTAAGGAAATCACAACAATGCAGAATTCCTGGGAATGTGTCGTACCTTCCTTTTCTATTTAAGTTTGTGACTTAAATGTGATGATTGAGATGTTTTCACTGTGATCTCAACAAACTATAGCAAACAAAGGACCACCGCAGAGAATCAAAAAAAAATACTGTATTTTTCAAATCAAAATATATCTACCTATGATTGGATACATTTTTCCTTTGCTGCCAATTATGTTTGAGTTGTGGATTGAAATAGGACAATATTGCAGAGGCAAAATTCATTTTGTAAAATACTTGTATGTTCCACATGTATAATTCTCATTTTTTATTTTTCTGAGTTTTTGGCTGCTACATTTAAAACCTCACAAGACTAAGAGTTGCAGGGAAATTTCAAATCCATTGGTAATGATATTTTAAATTCGGAAAATCCAAAAGTAATAGATTGTAGAAAAGCTAGAATTTTTTCTCCATGCCTTTTTTCTTTCTCCTTTCAAGAAAGGAGCAGGATCATCACATTAACTGAAACTAGAGGAAACTAACCTAGTCTGTCTTGAAAAGAATATGAAGGAATGCGTCCATGCTTTGAAATCTGTCAGTGTTCTCTCCACTTGAAGACAAAGTCACTTTAATTTGAAGCGAAAGCGATAATTAGGCGCTTTTCTGATTGGGCTGCAGAAGGCTTGGACATGCTGCTGTATTCTGACGACAAGGTTGTGAGCTGTCTTTGTCAGTATGCTGGGACTGGCAGTGATAATAGGGATGAGAAATTTTAGTTACCTTCATCCTCTAAGTGGGTGTTGCTGTGGTACATTTCTGCTCAGATTAAGAAAAAAAGTGTTATTTTAGTGAAATGGGGGTGAATGCAAGAAGGTAAAAGTTTCTAAATGCTATCTCAAAATGCATCAGTCTTATTTCTCAGGAGTTTAATAATTAAATTGGAAGCCACTCAGATATTTTGGGTATTAAGACCTATTAAAGCACGGTGCTGCTCTGTCTTCAGTGGATGTCAAGATTATCCAGATCTGATATGTGGAAGTGATGAAAGAAACAAGATTCTTGAAAATGCTTCAGAGAGTGATCTGTTTCAGCTAGAAAAATAGCATAGTCACAACAATTGAGCAACTTTGTTTACAAATAGGTAAATTATACATCTGTACATTGAAAGTGCTGTGATACGGTATCTTTTTAAAAGAGTTTGGCTCAGTTTTCACAGATTCATTTTGACTTGTTTGAACTTCTTAAAAGATGTGCATATGTAATGCTTGAGGAAAAGATTTTTGTTTTATTGTTTTAACAGATTAGAAAATGTGTTTACAATCTGGGTCTGTGTGATCACCATTGAAAGAGTATTTTTCAGGTTTACGTCCATTTGGGCTGACTTTAACTGAGTTGTTGGGGTAGGAAAGAAGCAGGTCCCTCTAGTGTCTATAACTACTGCTTCCCAGCTGGTTCAGAATAGTGATGAAATTATCATCTCCCTTAAGCAGTGTTAAGACTTTTTTCGTACCAGTTGTACACTGAAGTGTAACTTTTCTTGAAAGCTCTTTCATTTATTAGGAAGCAACTTTCAAATTACAGCAAATTAAAGTAAATTTGTATTTTGCCTTCTTGTTAAGAAATGGTCATTATGTACTGATGTCTCTTAAAAAACTGAAGTCGTCTCAATGTGATTTTAAATGTTGATATTTGTAGGCCTTTTCTTAATTGTAGGAAAGAATATTCCAGAGGGAAAAATGTTTTGCTTCTAGGATAACCCTCCTTGTGCCTCGCTCCATCCCTGAGTGGGTAGGATGCTTGTTATGACCACACGCATTCTTAGTTTACTTCACAAATTTACTTTACAGTTTATTTTAGATACTGTGTAACGTGCAATCCAGAGTAATTTTATGACAGGTCATTAAAAAACATAACTTTATTTAAGATTTACAGCATTTGCTCTCCATTTAATGAGAGAATGAATGAACCTTTTGGGGAGATTAACATAAAACAATTGTTTTTTGCAATATTGCATTAAAAAAAATTTTTTTTTTGGCAGTAGAGTACTACAGCCATGTCATCTTGTGTGACTTCTTGATGTAAAGCAACTAATATTTACACTGTCATATTTTTTATCATAGTTGTAAATTATGAATGATCCTTGAATTTTCTACAGATCTATAACTACTAAAGTAAGAGACAAGGGCAGTCTTGGTACATGACTGACTCTGAGCATGGCAGTTCTACCACTACCATAAAAAGACTCTATTTTTCTAATTTCTAGAATTTTTTAAATAACAGTTCTGTAAGTCTGACTACTATTATTCACTCAAGCAGTACCACTTATTTTAGTTTGCATATATTTTCATTGCCTTTAGTCTGATAGACTGTTTTGCAATAATTCTACTAAAAGATTTATTTCTTCTAATCAAGGATGCATAACAGCTATCTATTATCTAGGGGACCACCAAATGTGATTTCAAGATTTTGTTAGCTATTACAAATATAGTCCTTATATAGAAATTTTAATTTTGTAAAGTAGTGTATAATATTATAACATTAAATTCTTGTTCTCAAAATATCTTGATCTTCAATGTGCTGTGTAAAATCTTGCTTCTCTGAAATGGAGACAAGGTTTGTCTTCCTTTTTACAGTTTGTAATTTTCACTGTTTTATTCCTGTAAAAAAGAAAAAGTCATTTGTAACCCATGCAAACAATCGTTTGATCTGTGCTAACTCATGAATTTGGCTATCCAATAAAATTAATTAAAAGCTTACATACAGTGACTGGCAATTTTTTTTTTTTTGAGGCGGGGTCTTGCTATGTAGCCTGGGCTGGCCTGGAACTCTGGATCCTTCTGCCTCTGTGTCCAGAATGCTAGGATTGCAGGCATGTGCATCGTGAAACTTTGAAGAGCTCTTTAAGGTTACAGATTGCTGGGCCAGACCTTTGGAGTTTTTGATTCAGGTTTCTGGGGTGAGGTCTGAGAATTTTCATTTCTAGCAAGTTCGCAGGTTAGGCTGCCGATCCAGGGACTTGACAGAATTATTGCCTCAGGGTATCGTCTGCTCAGCCTCCGCTTACCCAACAGGCTATTCCACCCTTGGGAGACAAGGTTCAAAACAAATTTATCCTGGACCCTCCCTATACTGGGAGGTAGATGCTCTAGTTGGCATCCATCTTGGAGGTCTTGGGACAGGGCCAGAGGTCTGGCTGCCAAGGCTGTCTTGTCAAATGTTTTAGCTGGGCCTAAAAACCCAGGACCAGGCTTTTCTGGGCAGCCAACCGCCCGCTACATGCTGTGCCTCAACCCATTTTTCCCTTTGGACCATAATGAAAGCCTCTGAGGCTGGGGGCGAGCTGGTCCATGCCAGGCCAGATGTAAAGCAAGACCCCATCTCAAAAATAACCAGTACAAAAAGGACAAAATAAACACATCCACACCCACTTGTAGTATGCTGTCTGTAGCTGTACTCACAACAGGCTACCAGAGTTGAATGGATGCAACAGACGGTACAAAGTAAAAACATTTATTACCTGGCCCTTTATAGAAAAAGTTTATACCTCAACCAGGACATAAAGCAAGTTATGAATACCTAGCATACTGTTTTCTATTATTTTTATAAAATTACAGGTCAACCCAAAGAGACAAAACAACCCCATTACATTTGAAAGTGTGTCTAAAGAATTCACGGGGAGGATGAATTACACAATATTTGGAAATTAGGGCTGGAAGGTATAGCACTTGCCTATTGTGCAGAAGTCCCTGGGTTTCTTGTGCAGTCACACACACACAAAAAAATGAAGGGCATTGGAACATCATGTAAGAAAATTTGTGAGAATTAGCTACAGCAGTGACTAGACAGACATGTACATCGCTGAAGAAAAAATTAAAATATTTTGTTAGTATATTCAAGAAAGGAAAAGGATAAAAATAAGCCAAGTACCCATTTAAAGAATTAGAAAAAGAAGGCAGGTATGGTGGTACATGCCTGTAATCCCAGCTACTCAGTAGGTAGAGGTTCTGAGGATCTGGAATCAAGGCCAACCCAGGCAAAATGATATTGATACCCCATCTCAATTAACAAGCAGAGAATGATGGGGCACACCTGTGGTCTCAGCTATGTAGGAGACATAAATAGGAGTATCAACATCCAGCCAATGTAGGCAAAAATGGATGACCCATTCCAAAAAAAAACAAGGTAAAGGACTGGTGCCATCACTCAAGTGGTAGAGTTCCTGCTTAGCAACCAGAAGGTCCTGAGATCAAATCCTAGAACCAAAAAGAAAACGAAAAACAGATCAAGACAAGCCTCTGGCAACAAAAGAAAAAAGGAACATCGCACTAGGAATTAAAAAGTGTGTGTGATACGAGATACTGTGGGGGATTCTTTATGAGAATTACTACAACTCTTTTCTAAAAGTCACTATGAAATTTCAAAACAACGGATAATTATTAGAAACATGGAAATGTCCAATACTTATTTAGAAGTTACAGACAAACTGAATAGTTCTACATTCCCTGTATCAGTTGTCACTGCCTAACAAAGCACACAAAAACAGTGTCTGAAAACACCTGTTCTCTGTGCTTGTGATTCTGTGGTTAGCTGCACAGGAAGGCACACCTGGACAGCTCTGCTGGTCTACCTGAGTCCTCGGGCAGTGACAGCCATCTGATGGCACGGCCTCCCTCACATGTCTGGCAGTGGAGCTGGCTGTCAGCTGGGTCACATCTGCGTCAGGTCACCTCAGCCTTCTGTTGGCACAGGATTCCCAGCATGCAGCAGAACACAGCAAGCCCAGTGCACAAGTGCTCTTCAAGCCTCTGCTTGTGTCACATTGGCTAATATTTCATTGGCCAAATCACAACAGATCTTGACCAAAACAACTTATTGGACCAATGTGGGAGGGGTGACAAATAAGGACACAGGGATAGGGATTCATGGAGGAGGGGCACTGTTACTGGAACAGCCAAGTGTGCTGTGACCATTAAAACCAACCCTTGCTAAGTAAAATCCAATGTAATTTATCAAACTAACAAAAAGAAAACTCAAATATGATCTTAATAGATGTAAACACAAAAAGCATTTAATAACTTTTTGCAAGTGCAAAGCCTCCCAAGTAGCTTGGATCACAGGCATGAGCCACCAGTGTCTGGCTAGCATTTAATAAAATTTTAATACTGTTGTGGGAATCTCAGGCTGAGATGGGACACTGAGGCAGTTTAGCAGGAAGCAATGTTTTATTGTGCCGGCACAGACGCAGAGGACTCCTGTCCAAAGGCTGTGCCCCTAGAACAAAGGGGTCTCCCCTTATAGATCCTTGCAAGCAGGTTACAGAAGGAAAAAGCAAAGTCTAATCCATATATGGTTATATGCAATTCCATAGGCTACTTTACCCCACTGCTACGTGACTTTCCCCCTCCCCAGTGTTATGTGACCCTCTCCACGCTCAGATTCCTCAGGTTTTACCTCTCTACTATGCCGTCTCTATCTCCCCACTACTTTATCAGAACTCAGGCTTAGTCTGTTGCCAACCTGCACAACTGTGAGAAATAAATTTCTGTCAATTACACATAACCCTCTCTAAGGCATTTTGTAACAGCAGAACAAATGGGTTGACTCACTCTTTCTCTGCTATAATTCTTGGCAGATGGTTTTATTCTTCATCACTTTGAAAATACCCACCCACTGCCTTCTGGGTTCCAAGGTTTCTGATAAGAAATCTGATGAGGCAAATTATGGTGAAGGGGGCTGTCTACCTCCTGCCACCTGCAATTGATGTTAAAAGTGCTCCATGGTGCTTTGAGAAACAGTTTTTTGTGACAGTGGTACATGTTTGAGAACCGCTACCAAAGGATTAGTTTAACATCAATCACTCCAGGTTTAAAGACAAAGGAATTGAATAACTTGAGTGTAGATAGGATGAGGTCTTTATTTATTTTTAATTATTTTATTTTTTGGTGATCTGTTTAATCATTTCATTTTTTTAGCTTCTTTCATTATGATACTTCTAAATAATTTAGGCAGACATTGAAGAAGAATCAGACTGTATTTGTCTGTGTCTCTGGAGTTGCATTTTATCCAAATATGGCATTATCTTTCTCTCCTGGTCCCTGGTCCAATGACAAGGTTGTTGTTTGGGACATATCTGGCAAGCCTGTGGAGTGCTATTTTACCCAGCCACCTGCCTGCTCTTGGGGAGACCTCCTCTTCTGTCATTCTTTCCTCATAGTTCCTGAAACTCCAGAGCCTCTGCTCAGGATGAGGTATTTAAAAGCCAAAAGTTATGACAGATTTTCAGAATCCAACTGAAGAGGCCATTGAAGCATCCAGGGACTTCAGCTTCACAGGAGTAAATACCAGTCTCCATGACCCACCAAGGAAGCAATTGTTGGAGTAGGTTATCCTTTGAATTTTTTTTTTTTAAGTTGTGATGGTCTTTGGACCAATGAAACAAGACTTGTGGCTTGTGCCCAGCTGTGATTGGTTCACTTGTTCTCTGACATCACCGAGGGGCCATTGTGAGTAAGGCCAACTGCCAGCCAGCAGGTATATAAGGAATTTGCCTGAGCTGGATTTTTGTCCATACAGTGCAGGAAGCTCTTGGTTGGTGACCTGCTGGACAACTACAAAGCTTGGTTGACGGATTTTGGGATTTTGGTTTTTGGTCTTTGTTTTTGTTCTCTGTTTTTCCTACTATTTTTCATTTTTATTTACTTTTTGATTTGATATTTTTCTTTCTTTTTCCTTTGTTTTTCTGTTACATTTTCTTTTTTTTTTCCCCCCTCAGGGAACATTGTTTTTTGTTTTTATTCTTGGTTATTTTTTCTTTTGGGCTTTTTAATTTGTTTCTTTTCTAAAATTTGGTAAAGATGCCATGATCATTCTATGGTGAGAGGTATGAGTGGCTGACAGCACAGCGCTCTCTCAGTGCCAGGTCCCCTGATGAGATCCTCAAGGCTCAGTATTGGCTCCTGAGGACCATAGGCGAAGGCCACTTTGGCTATGTGAAACTTGCCTACCACCGCCTCACGAGAACCCAGGTTGCAGTAAAACTACAGCAGAAGTGGGAGAAAAGCTCCTACCTTGCGAATGAAATCTCTATACTGAAGACACTGGACCACCCTAACATCATCAGACTGTTTCAGGTGATCGAAACAGTGGACCATGTCTACCTGGTCATGGAGTACGTGAGCGGAGGGCAGCTCCGGCAGCATATCAAAGACGCCCAGCGCCTGTGTGAGGAGAAGGCCCGTGGCATTTTCAAGCAGATCCTGTGTGCAGTCAAATACTGTCACGACAGAGGCATTGTGCACAGAGACCTGAAAGCTGACAACATCCTGCTTGATACTGAAGGCAACGTGAAAGTCATCGACTTTGGCCTTGGCACCAGGTACTCCATTGGAGAGGAGCTCACAGATTGGTGTGGTGCCTTTACCTAGAAGGTAACACCCACGCACAGGAAATCAATGTGAGTCAACTCCCTGTATAGCTATCTTTATCTCAACCAGCAAAACCCCTTGTTCCTTCCTATTATTGCTTATACTCTCTCTACAACAAAATTAGAGATAAGGGCAAAATAGTTTCTGCTGGGTATTGAGGGGGGGAGCGGGAGGGGGTGGAGTGGGTGGTAAGGGAGGGGGTGGGGGCAGGGGGGAGAAATAAACCAAGCCTTGTATGCACATATGAATAATAAAAGAAAAATGAAAAAAAATATCTTCTGAAATGCTGGTTTAGGGATCATGAATTGATTTATTTTCTGTATATTGTGAAAGATTTCTTATTTCTCCTATATTAATGTAGGTTGACAGTTACTTTCTCTCAGAACTTGGAAAATATTCCATACTCTTCTTACTTTTAGACTTTCTTTTGAGAAATATGCTCTTATTCAGATGGGTTGACTTGTTTCTCTCTTGCAGGTCTTAATATTCTTCCTTTGTTCTGCATATTTAGTGGAGAAAGAAATATATATATATATTCACACACACAGGTGTGATCTATCCCTGTTGCTCTCTTTGGTGGAGTTGCCCTTTTAGAGGGCTCCAATAAAGTATTATTTAGTGAAGGGATAGTGGGTTCTTAGTGTTATTTCTGAATTTAACATTACCTACCTCAGCTACACTTTCCAATTAGTTCATACAGAGTTATACAACTAGTCTTGAGTGAATTTTGAATCTTTGCAAAATTCTCCTCATTTTCCTCTTCTCTTGTCATTCTGTGGATGTCTGTAATCTTAGCCATGTTAATGGTGCAGTTTAGGAGACTGGAGAACTAGAGAGCAATGTTTATAGGACAAATAACTTCTTATAGAAGTTCATGACCCAGGGGCACACATTTTTATGGTTAATTCCATTTTAATAAAATGTCTCTCCCTCTAGACTCACACCTGCACTTTCCCTGCTGCCTCCATGTGAGACACTTGCTATCCCAGAGATGGTAGAAGAGCAATCATCTCCTCTATATGCCCATATGGCTCTGTGGAGATGCTTACCATGACCAAAAAACTTTTAACTGTTTCTGGAAGTCTGAAAGTAAGGAAAAGTTTTCATATGTACAACTACAAAATCTGCAGTGCCATTGACCACACAGGGGAACTCATCATTTCTGTCCTGTGGGGAGGTGAGGTCACAGGATCATCAATGCTTATTTCTGTGTCTGGTGACTTCACTCCCACATACACCATGGCTCATATTCGTGTCATGCTGAGGGAACCATCTTGGTAGTGGGAAGGAGATAGGTAAGTAATGTTTTCTCTTTCAGTCTGAGAGGGAGAGTCTGCAAGACCAGCAGGATCATCAGGGATCTGGTAAAGTTCTATTGTCTGGAGTTTACATTCTTCTGTGGTAGAGGCTGACCTGGCACTAAAGCCACTCAGCCAAGAGGATTAGGTTCCTGAAATGTGGGCAGAGCTTTTGGACAGGGACTGGGGAATAATAGACCATGTGCTGAACCTAATGCTGGCTAATACCTTCCAACATCTCTCACAGGTCTTGAATGCTGGATCTAGGTTCACACAGGAAAGAAATATGAATTGTATGATGTATAGAATTCTAATTAGAAATTAATCTGACTTTGAATGTCACAAAGAGAAATCACAGAAATGTTTATGTTCGGTGCCACTTTTTCTGTAAAAAAAAAAAACCTGTGTACCTCTTAATTAATACAATGGAGCAAATTGATTTAGCCAACTATGCACAAAATTTCAATCAGTAGCATTTAATAAATGAAGTTACCTAGGAAAAAAAAAAAAAAAAAAGACGCCCAGCGCCTGTGTGAGGAGAAGGCCCGTGGCATTTTCAAGCAGATCCTGTGTGCAGTCAAATACTGTCACGACAGAGGCATTGTGCACAGAGACCTGAAAGCTGACAACATCCTGCTTGATACTGAAGGCAACGTGAAAGTCATCGACTTTGACCTTGGCACCAGGTACTCCATTGGAGAGGAGCTCACAGATTGGTGTGGTGCCTTTACACACCGGGCACCTGAAGTATTCCTGCGCCTACCCTATGATGGCCGAAAGGTGGACGTCTGGAGCCTGGGCGTCGTCCTCTACTGTATGGTGACGGGAGCCTTGCCCTTTAGAGGGGAGACTGTTATGCAGGTGCGGCGGGCAGTCCTGGAATTAAGGTATGACATACCCAGATACCTTTCTATGGGCTTGAGAAATGTCATAGTTCAGATGCTCACGAAAAACCCTAGTGAGAGGCCCACTGTAGACCACATCGTGGGGCACCCTTGGCTAAGGCAAGGGGAGGAAGGGTCACCTAGTCCAGCTGTGGAGCGTCTGCCCAAACACCCGGACCCTGCAATCGTGGTGGCCATGTGTGACCTGGGTTACAACCCAGATGACATTCGCCAGTCTCTACTGCAGAGACGATTTGATGAGGCGATGGCCACCTACCTCATGTTGAGAGATCAAATGTGCCAGGAGGTTACATTCAGAGCCCGAATTAAGCCCCAGGTGCGCCCAGAGATTGTGCCCATCCCGTCCCCTGCAGACCCTTCCACCTTTGCTCCCCCCCTAAGGAGGAGAGCCAGTGCACCTGGCCTTCTTCAGACCTTCACGTTGTCCTCCGATGACAAGACAGGGCACAGGGGCAGAGGAACAGCCAGCCTGCCTAATGTTCCCCTCTGCATCCTGCCAAGGAATGTCTCTACCACAAGCATCGTCCCCCAGCCTGGTCCTGCGGCTGCTCCGCCCCCTGGGGAGGTAGAGAGTGGCATGTCCTCTAAGGGAATGTCCTCAGATGAACACGCCTTCACCAGCGGGCAGCCCCACGATGTGGCCACAGTGCCTTCCAGCGGGAATATTCAAGGCTGGAAGAGGGTGAGGAGGAGGATTGTGAACTCTGTTTTAAGACTGTGTTGTTGTGTGCGGGGCCAAAAGTGACACCCTCACTTCCACAACTAAGTGGCTTCAGTGAAAGCTACAGACAGCTGAGAAAGGCACAGTAACAACAGAGAGCCAGAGGACCCCGTGTGCGGTGGATCCTTTCACCATAGTGTGGGGGTTGGACCAGGTATATCCTCAGCCAGCTGCAGGAAGGATTCAAGCAGGACTTTCAAGCTGCTGTGAGCCCAGCAAGCCCAGCAAAGGCCTCTGTCCAGCGCAGGAGTGAGGAATGAAACCGTCTTTCCACGGAATGGCCAATGGCCATGGGCCTCTCCTCATGGGACATGGAGGTCTCCACTAGGAAAATCACCTGGAACCAAAATGTGAGGAAAGCCTGGGAATAGACCAGGCATGTACTTTTTCAAGTGCCCTCAAGGTTTGAAATAGGCACCGAAAGTGCTGCTGCTGAACGTCCGTATTTCCAATCTTACGATCGGTGTGCTGAAGGTCTGAAGACAAGCGCCTTCCTCTGCATCCTCCAATTGCTTCCTGGCATCAACATAGTCTGGACCTGCTCCAGCTTGCATCCCTTTCCACCTGTCAGTCAGGATGCCGGTTCTCTTCACCTCCTAGTGAACAGCAGGGGGACTGTTGTCCTGGGAGGAGAGCGGTGAGAGCCACGCACATAGAGGAGGGATGCAGCATCCGAAATGCCCTCATTCGGTTGGTCCCTCCTAAGGACCCCATGTGCTCATGCTCAACAGGCCTGGGCAGAGCAGGGCGGAGGTTCCTACTTCTGGATGGGGACGCTGGAGTTTGAGTCACAGGTGTGGACGCTGGCCACACCTTCCTCGCCACCAATCTACAAATGTGGACGGAAGTCCACACACACAGGTACTCGGGGTGGTGGAAATCCTAGAGGCCGTGGCTGAGAATGCAGTGCAGCAGCAGAACAGGAGCTGAGCATGCGCAGATCCTGGGCTCCCTCTGCACCACCAACTGAGAAAGGCAGGTATGGCTGCTAGAGAGGACAGGGAGTTACTGCTGAATGGACAGTTTCAGATTTCCTTGGCTACCAGCCTAGCTCAGTGGGGAGTCCTGGCCTAGCATGCAAAAGGCTCTGGATTTGTACCAACCACTGAGGGGAAAAACGCTTTAAAAAAGAGTTGTGGAGATGGATGGTGGTGATGTTTGCACGTTATGAATGTGTGGTCATAGGCCTCACAGCAATGTGTCTGCCAACACAGACCTCTTCCACCATAATAGACCCATAGATCACAATTGAGCTGAAAATTTCTCTTGTCTGATGACGTGGTAGTCATCCTAAGGGTGGAGTGCAAATGCACTACTCCCTTGATGCTGTCATAAACAGTGTGCTCTAGTCATGTAAAAGTGTAGCACGTACAGTTGTTTACAGTACATGATGGTCACAATGACAAATGACTACATTCCTGGTATATGTGTGCTACATTGTACTTACTGTTATCTTAGGACATACTTGTGTAAGAGGTGCTTTACTGTTTTTACTGAAAAGCACTGACTCCTTCCTGTCAGATGTTTGGGAATCTTGGGTTGGTAAAAGAATTTACCCAGACAGAGAACACAAAGATTTCTTAGGTCAGCAGTAAAAGGGGAAACGGTGGTGGGCAGTTACAGGAAGGAGCATAGCTGGCGGGTACAGGGGTGAGAACAGATTTATACCTCTGGTTAGGCGACTTTTGACTGGCTCCCTTTGTGCACACATACTGATTGGTTGTTCCTTCCCAGGATCAAGGTTTGAACTGAATGCAAGGGGGAACATCTCTGCAAGCTTGGCTTTTACTTCTGTGTTCTGCCCAGCAGACATGATCCACCCCGAACCTTCCATCTGTTCCTTAGTGTGCTTTTGTCTGCCATGTTTCCTTAAAATGGGAGCTCCTCCACACCCCTGACAGAGCAACAGAACAAATCCTTGTTTTAGTGGGGAGAATGTCTTATCTTCTTGTAACTCTTTGAGCTGTGAAGGGTGGTAGTCATGTCCCTGCCTATGTGTACTTTGTTCTGGCAGAGGGTGATGGTGCAGGCCATGGGGACATGACAGAGTCTAATTGAACATGGATTAAAATTGTATGGAAGCCTGGGCCAGGGTGCTAAGGGGCATTGAAGGGTCAGGCAGCAGAGAATGGAGCCCATGTTGTAGCTTGATTTGTAACTTTATGGCATCAAGACAAAAAGAAATAAATCTAGTTAGAACATTAAGGCACAGACCAGTGGCAAAAGAACTAAAATAGAAACTAGAGGGCCCAAGATCAGCAGAAACCTTGGGATAACACTGACCAGATATTTTCCCTTGAGAGCCATCCATGGGTGGATTCTTCTTTAAGTTGAGAGGCTTGGTGGGTCGTTCATGAATATTAGTTTGAATTTGTCCTGATCCATTAGCCCAAAAGCAACAGTCTTCCACAAGTACACCATACATTCCCCCTTGGAGCACTCAAGGAATTGGCTCCAAGAAAGGTAGACTGATGAAATCTTCCATTGGGAAGATCCAGGAAGGAGCAGGTGATGGTCTGGTGCTTGAGATCCTTTAGCTATGGCCTCCTCAATTTCCCTAGAGTTAAACTGGAGAGAGGGTAGAAAGGGATGAGGGAGGAAAGTTGCTGCTTCCTCAACTTATTTGGCAGGCAGTTTGTTAGCCAAAGGTACCTGGCCTATGGCTTTCTTGTGGGTTGGCAATGAATTATGGCTACCACATTTGCAGTTTGATGGCCTCTGGTAAGATTATGATTCCAGGGACATGTTTCAGTGGAGAGTTTTAGGCTGTTAAAAGTCCATTTTATTCCAGATGATTGTGTGTGTGCTTTCTGAGGCATATGCAGTCTGACAACTGCATAAGCAGAAACCTGTTTCCTGCCAATCATAAACCTGCTGCCATCAGTGAGCAGGTGGTATCAGGGTCAGTGATGGAGCATCCTGGAGGTTCCCACCTGGATGTGTTGATCAGAGCAATGACTTCCAGGTAAGAGTGTTGGAGTGTGGGGTCAGTGTTTGGTCTGCTAGTAACGTAGCAGGATTCAGAGTTTGACCAGACTGCAATGGAGGTCTGAGGTGCCTAGAAAGAGACCTTGGTACTTGTGAAAGTGGCTGTCGCATAGCCATGGGAGGCCTTCGAGTTTCAAATGCCTGTTACTTGATGGAGTTCAGCACTGTCATCCCTCGCCTCGGGGTCAGTTTAGACGCCTGAGCTACTGAGGCCAAGGCCCTGAGAAATGGGCGCATCCTTGACAGAGTGTGCTGCGTGGTGATTGGCGGGCGCCATGGACTCCAAGGCAGTCACCTGTCCTCATGGACATATGTGGAAGAGTTTTCCCAAGCCAGGGGCAGTGGTAAGGGCTTGCTTTCAGACAGAAAGGGCTCGGCCCATTTGGGGGCTCAGTGTAGAGGCTCCTTGTTTAAGAAAACCTTATTCTTAAAAGGAAATTTAATCCTTAGCAGGTGAAACTATGTACTCTCGTGAATCCAGTGTCTGTACTCCCCAGATGGTATTTAAACCTCAGCTGCTGCTGCTGCTTCTGCTGCTTCTTCTCCCTCTCCCCCTCCCCCTCCTCCTCCTAATCCTTCACCTCCCCCTCCCTCTCCCCTCTTCTTCTTCCTTCCTCCATCTTCCTCCTCCTCCTCCGTCTTCTTTTCTTTCTTTCTTTTTTTGGTGGTACTGGGCCTTGAACTCAGGGTCTTCACCTTGAGCCTCTCCTTTAGCCCTATTTTTGTGAAGGGTTTTTCGAGATAGGATTTCATGAACTTTTTTGCCTGGGCTGGCTTTGAACTAGGATCCTCCTGATCTCTGCCTCCTGAATAGCTAGGATTACAGGTGTGAGCCTCAGACTCCTGGCTATTGAATTCCAGGTTTTTTGTTAGAGCTGTACTGATATATTGCAAAAGGAGAGATGGGGGAGGGCAGTGGGGCAGGACTGTCTAGGTTAACTGCTGGGCAATCTGAGTATTGGGGTCATCTCTCCACTCAAAGACGAAAGGAATTGGGAATCTTGGTGCACAGGGATGCAAAAGGAGGCATCGTTTGATTCTAGGATTATAAACTAGGGAGCTCTGTGGGGATTTGAGTTACTAGACTACATGTGTAAGGAACAATGGCGGGGAGAGGGAAAACTCCCTTGCTGATGGCCCTGAGATCTGGTTCCATCCTATAAGAGCCATCTGGTTTTTAACTGCCAGTAGGGAGTATTGCAGGGGAAATTTCCAGGAGGTTTTCGGTCAGCCAATCAAAATTTAGGAATGAGGAGCTAGAGTCCTCTTTGGGCCTCTGGTTTGAAGGGATATTGGGTCAACTGGTGAAAAAGCTGAAGTCTTTCAGACTTGAGTAGGAGAAAGGAATGTCCACAGAGCTTAGGGTTCCAGACCTCAGTAGGAATTTGGTGAAGTTAGAAAGGATCAATGGTGAGTTGTGCTTGTGGGGCCAAAAGTGCCAGTCAAGAGTAGACACTGTCAACTGAGGCTGTGCTCAAATGATAGAACGCCTGTATACCAAGTGCAAGACACTGAGTACAAAGACCAGTATTGAAACAAACAAAAAGACTGAACCTAGTGTTACCTGTGTTCTGGACACTAAGGCTCATCCTAGCTTGAATAAGACAGGGGCATTAGGCAGTACCAGGAAAGAGTGAGTAAAGACAGAGGTCTCTAGTGAGCTGACAAGCAGGGGAGTAAGGAACATTATTGGGCCTGTCCATCTATTCCTGTGAGGAGGATTGGGGACTGATAAGGAGGTCCAGGGATGATAACTAGGGAAGAATATGGATCCCCCACCTCCATCAGAAAAGTAATTTTATTTCCTGCCACATTCAGGGTTAAATGGGAGTACTCCATGGAGATGGAGAACACAGGAGCCTGTATAACCCCTTGGCCCCATCAGTTGAGCTGTGGGTCTCCCCTAGGTGTTTATTCCTCATAGTCCAAGTCACCATGCATCTGCCAGTCACCCCACATAAGCTGTTCATGAGGATCCTGGGCTTCAAATGACCTCTCCTGAGGGCAAGGGAAGGGCAGTCCCACTTTGAGTGGCACTCCTGTTTGAAGCATGGACATGAGTCAGGTGGGAGACATGGATTTTGGCCATTGGAACTGAAATGTCCAGGCTGGCCACAATTATAGTAGGTGAATGAGGACCATGGGGGAACCTGTGGTATCCTGGGATTAGGTCAAGTAAGGCTGGGGCTAGTGTCCACAGCCTGAAGCCACCCTGCAGTGAAATGCAGTTAGCAGTGGCCATGGCCATACAATCAGCATGTCACCACTTTTCATCTGTGAATGCCTCCTTTTGAAGGGCGTGAATGCCATTTTTAGTTAGGTTGAGAAGGAAGTTTGAGGGGCCCTTTCACAGATTTTGGAGTTTTTGTCTAATGTCTGGTGAGAATTGCCTGATGAGATGTATAACAAGAATTGCTAGATCCTCCAGTATCTCAGTCCTTAGGATGGAGTATTTGTGCATGGCCCTCCTACCCTGGAACGAAACAGGGAAATGCTTTTGATGGTGCCTTGAGTGGTTTCTCTTAATTTATAGAAGTCAGTATGTTTAATCACGTCCCTATGCATGCCCTCCAAGAAAAGACGTGTGATCATATGATCTCTTTGATGTCTGCTCACATGTCACCAGACCATGGATCCATTCACAGTCCATCAAATTCCTCATTAACTGAGAAACACAGGGAGAGATAGGTGAGGGGACCGCTCAATGTCAGCACAGGTTTTATTTGGGAAAGAATATGTGGAGGAATTGACAGATGGAAGTATCCAGCCAGACCCAGAGAGCATAAAAGGTCCTC